GAAGTAATAATATATAAATAGTAAAGGAGTATTATTTTTAATATATTATAAATCTTTATAATATTTATAATATTTAAATTTAATTTATTTTTTAATTATTTAAATAATATAAATAATATAGTTTTCTTTATAAATTATTAATATTTCTAATAATAGAATAATTATATAATTAAGGTTAGTTTTTCGAAAGTTAAATAGGCTAGATTACTTACTATATTAGACTACTTACTATATATCTATATTATTATAGATCTTTATAATACTTATAGTACTTAAACTTAGTTTATTTTTTATTACTTAGATAATAAGAATAATCTAGCTTTCTTTATAAGTTATTAATATTTCTAATAATAGAATAAATATATAATAAAGTTTAATTCTTTAAAAGTTAAGTAAGCTAGACTACTTACTATATTAGACTACTTACTATATTAGACTACTTACTATATATTTATATTATAGCTTATATTAATAGCTATAAGGATATAGTACCTAGAGGAGGCAGTAGTATTAGGGGTACCCTTATAGAAGGTGCCTCTAGCCTAGGGCTCCTAGCGGACTTAGACTCTACTAGAGTCCTAGGTCTAAGGCACTCTTCTCTATATATAAGGGTATTAGCCTAGATATAGATAGTAATAGATAGCTTAACGATTTATAATACTCTATACATACCCCTAAGTAAGGTCTAATAAAAAGCCTATAATAAATCATTATTAAAAGAATAATAGCGAAGATATTATGAGTCTAAGGACTAGACATCCTAGAGGGAGGGTAATATAAACCCTAGGTATTAATCTCTCCGTAGCGTCTTATCGCTAATATATCGGTAATAAGGTCTAATTAATAAATAGTATTGAGGCCCTATTCTATAGCCTCGATAAGTTAACGTTAATACTATAGTATACCGATTATTCGCTGATCTAGCTGCTTTCCCTAATCAAGGCCCTCAGCCTAATACCTTTATAACAGGAGGGTGCCTGGAACTAAGCTATAGGAGCTGCCAGGGCACAGGCCACCTGGCAACAGGTGAATGGCACTGAGTGAATGCCCTGGAAGCCCCAGGTGAATACCGCTAATAAGTAAGAATCAAGTATCCTAAATTACACGAGGAGCAAACGACTTATGCTTTCGACCTTCTATAGTTCCTTAGGAAAGCTTGAAACCAGTTCTACTCCGAATACCTAATATGCGCGTCACTCATCGTTCCTGCATTTTAAGATTGCGGCGCGATCTCCATTACTCAAACGCATTTCTTGGAGCGAATGGACCAAGAACGACAGAATCCGCTACCCTCGCGTCACGACCGTTAAGCCGGAGAACGCACCCGAGGCAACATGTTACCACCAGGTTGGCTCGCTTGCTGAAACTCTGTACATTTGGAGCGCTAACTTATAAAGGATTGGCCCTACCGGCACACAACACACAGGATACGATACTGCCGACGCCATCTTCAAAGCTAGAAAATACCCATTGCTCGCCGCTGGGGTAGTTGCGCTTGGCTGTGGTATATATGTCAGCATGATGATATCGTCGTTTGCGACCGAACCCTCAGCAGATCTCCAAGCTTCTCCGACCGGTCGGCCACCCACATTCACTCGTGAATCTGCCCGCCAGTTCGACTCCAGCCTCGATGCGTCTGAAGAAGCCATGGGTATTATATCACTGCGGAAAGATATCGGTCGACTTGCCATGGGCCATGTCCTCGAGGTGGCGCTTGGGACTGGGCGTAATTTGGCTTTCTATGACTGGAGTAGAATAGTCCCTTCGCAAAATGACATGGCGCCAGGGAAGCCCGATGCTCGGCAGCAAGCTTTACTTTCTTTTACAGGTGTTGATATATCGGCAGATATGCTAGGGGTTGCCATTGACAAGCTGCCTAAGGCCGTTCCTGGCATGACCGACATGACTCCGACCGTATCAGCCCGCACGGCATCGTCAGGTGGTGGATGGCGAGAATTCGCATATCTTGGCGGAAAGGTCAGGGTCGCACAGTGTGATATCGAGGGTATACTCCCGCCGCCAGAGCCGACAGTTTGCAACGACCAAAAATACGATACAGTTGTCCAGACTTTTGGTCTATGTAGTGTGTCAGATCCCGAAAAGGTCTTATCCAATTTGGCAAGCGCCGTCAAGCTTGGAACTGGTAGGATCATACTTGTGGAGCATGGGCGTGGATGGTGGCGGCTTGTCAATACCCTTCTTGACTGGTCTGCGCTTGCACACTACCGCAAGTATGGTTGCTGGTGGAATAGAGACATTGTCGGAATCATCGAAAGCGCAGCTAAGTTAACACCAGGTCTCAGGATCGTACGACTGGAAAGACCCTTCATCACGCAATTGGGCACTACGGTATGGATTGAGCTAGCTGTGGATTCACCCAATGGTGGCGAGCCGTCGCACGATCCGTGACAGCCTAGAGTATGCCGAAAGAGCTTCAGCTCTTCCGGCGTACGGAAAGGGGTTTGGAAGGAGATATCTTCGTTCTTTATCATTGCTTCATCTCAACGTAGGCCTAGGCTGCATACACAGCCTGATCTTGTACACTACAAAACCATAAAAAATACAGATGATTATCCATCATATCACAAGTCGGGGTATTTCGACGAAGGTCGCTGTGCTCAGCAGGCATCAAGCAAACAATCAAGCTCGTCAAGCTCAATGTCCTCGGGCTTATGGTCCCACTCGAGCGATTTGCCAAACTTCAACCAATTATCTTCTGTGTCTTTTCTAGTGCTTGATGGTGGGAAAGTCGCTCGGAATGCCGGACTAGCCATGAAATTCGTAGACACTGTTGACCCAGCGGCGATGTATGATCTGTCTCCAAATAGGTCATCCCGAGCAAGGTCGTCGGGTTGGACATGCTCTCCACAGCCTGGTAATGATTCGCCAGACAGCTTGCGCTTATGAAGTCCGTCTGCCGTTTGAGTAAATTCTCTCTCGTCCTTCTCCAAAGGGGGAGAGGCGCTTCTTAGGGAGCGGGGCATACGAACAGTCTTCGAAAAAGACCCAATTGGCGTGACGGGGACATCCATATCATCGACCATGTCATCAAAGTCAGGTGAAAGATCGACCTCTGGCGAAGGACTCAACTCTCGGCGGTGCGCATCATCGTCGTCACCGAAGAGAGACCCAGAACTCGAGATCGAAGGAGATATGGCGACCCGAGGACGAAGCTTGAGGGCAGTCATAGGAGGGAACGGCTTGCGGGCGCATGTTGTGAGATGATAGTAGCTTCGCGAAGACTCAAGTTCCTTCGCTAGTGGACAGGGCGCCAAAGCAGACCAGCATGGGCGCTTGAGATATGAGGCTAATCTAGCAGATATGAGGGCGGATGGGTTCGCCGAGCTGAAGTAGTCGCATGTTAGCAGCGATCAAACAAGGGGATCAACGAGACTGTTGACACGTACTGTTGAACAATGGAGAGGCTCTCGGCGAGAATAGGGGCAAGTTCTTTCACAAGATGCGGTCGATTTGATGTCGCTTGGAGTTGTAATATCACAGCCTCCACAACGTTGTCATCGGTGCCCTCAAGGTCGATCAGTCGATTGGGTGTGTTTTCTGTGTCGAGTTCGAGCCTGCTTTGCCTTCTTTTCGGTGACGGTGGTGGAGTGTGCTTATACTTGCCAGCGGCGTTTTCTTCGAATGATGTTGCCGTACTCGTGGTCGGGGAAAGTGGTAATCCGCAGCTTCCTTTCCCGTGTGACATCTTTGCCCTCTTGTTGGCATGACGTGTACCAGGGACAGTAGTGGATTTGGATTCCCCTGATCGCTTCTCTACTACATTCTGGTGCGTAGAGGGTGCTCCAGCAGCAGCGGCTGCGGCGGCAGCGGCTCGTTCGGCGTGGGAGACTGGGACGTGAACCCCAAGCAATGTCAAGGAAAGGGATTTGCGGCGAGTATTATAAGGCATATTGCATTCGAAATTGATCGATCCAGCTATCGGTCGAAGTGCGATGCTGGGGTGAGACGCTTGGTTCCGGAGCGACTTGTGAATTTCGTAAGGGCGGTCGATATAGTAGATACACACGGGCGTGGTTGTTTGCTTGGATTAAGGAGGGATGTGATATAGAGATGGGTCCGGCCCTGATCATTCGCAACTGACTGCTGGTACAATATGTCATACAATGACAAGGAGACAGGGGAATGAGAGGTGGAGGGTCATAGGTGTGTCCCGTAACTGGTGGCAGATATGGGAAACTTTTTTTTCACACGCCCGCCGCATTGGATGGGCTCCATAGTTTCCATGACGGGGTGCATAGGATATGCCGGTGCCCCACTCTCGAGTCCCTGACAAGGCCCAATGACAAGGCCTCATCGCCCGCCGTACCATCATGCTGTTTTGCTTCGATATTTTCGGTTACTGAGACCCTATTTTCCTGAAATATGGATTCAGAGGTATCCTTGGGCGCCTTCATGACAAGCCGATACGTAAGCGCTGAGGATTTCGTTTTCCTTTGGTAAGATATTTTTAGACGCTGCCACGTCCTGAGCACGTGTGGCTTTAGTGTTTGTATGGGAACATGCCGCCTGATAAGGGCCCGATGAGGGGAAGGAGAATAGCAAGAGCCATCAGTTCAATTAATTTGACCGGCCAACAGACGACTTTTGTACTGCTGCAGACTATGCCTATGAGGCTGGCTATCATCTTCTACCACAACCATCGCCTAGCCTTACAACGATCCCCCCCCCTTTCGGTGATCCGTTCCTTATCTTACAAATTGATGGCATGTTGAGAAGTGTCATGCATCGTAAGGCATGCAGCGCTCGCCTGTTGCGCATCCTTTAACGCCGTCCTCCAAGAGTGAAGCCCTCATTTGCGTCACTTTCCGTAATTACACCAAAACATATTTGCGATCTCCCGGGAAGCCTTGTTGTGCGTACTGTGTTTCGTTACTTTTGGGGTGCAGGTACCCCGCCATCGTCCACACCGAGAGCAGCCACGAAGACACAGACGGGCACACCGTTGACGTTCACATTGCCAGTGCAGGTCGTATACCTCATTACGCACGCTGAAGAACAGCGTGGAAACGATCGATTATCTTTGAAGCCAGGTTAGCATTTTGACCACACAATGTGTATAACACGAAAATCGCAAAAATAGCAATGGAAACGTACCTCGGGTGACGACTTAACAAATGGTAGGTCGAAGAAAGCATACTTTTCGTTCTTCAGAAGCTCCAGAACCGTGATCATGAGGCCCCAAGGCTGTGGCCAGAAACCGATCAGTCGTTCCCACAACACGCGCGTGATCTGCTGCCGGATCTCTGTGTCGTCGGGATCATTCAAGTCGCGGCCGAAAATTTCCAGCAGAACTCGACTGAAGTAGCTCGTCATATCGCCAGGGAACCTCAGCTGGTTAACCATGCCGACAACGAGGTAATAGCGGGGCTCCGGCGCCAGCTCGTGCATCAATAGCGACAAAATTGCGACGTCTGTCGAAGATGGGTTGAAAGACTCTCCTCCTTGGGCCAAACGCCCCACAGCGTATTTGCCAATATGGAGTATGATCGCTTCGATGACGGAAAGATTCACGTTGATACTGACGTGCGCAAATCCGGTTTCGCGGGCGTCAGATTCGATGATGGCACGCGTCATGTGAGCCAAGCCGTCTTCCGATGGACCAGTGTGCAGAGCCTGATCGACTACGCCGAGGAGACCGTGCTCCCTCAGCAAAATAGGAGTGTCGTCTTCGGTACCCTCTTTCGCCTTCAACCCATTACTTTGATCCGCATTAGGACTCAGAGCATCCTGAGATGCCGGGTTTGCGGCGAGAATAGCATTGATAAGCTGCTTGCAGTGGGGAGGCAAGCTTATGCGTAGCTGGTCGGAATGAGCAGCGATGTACTCTGTGAAATCATGTTGCAGGACAACGAGCAGTTTTAATGTCGCACGGTATGTATCACGTGCCACGGCGGTGGGCTCAGGAGCTTTGAGCTGTTCCCCAACGAATTCGAAGAGCATGCGTAGGAGTGTCGTATACGCTGACCAGCCTGCACGCTCCTTCAAGATAGCAGGTAGAAATGCTCTGTGTTGAATAAGCGACAGCCAGCCATAGGCGAAGCCCGGAAGGTATCGGGGACTGAGATCCGCGAGTCGGGAGGCAATTCGCAGCAGCATGTCAAGCTGCTCAAGCTCATCGACTTGACTTTCGATTGCGCCCACTTCATGGAGCAAGACGGATAGCAGACGATGGAACACCCTTTGATTGAAGTGCTCAACTCGCTTCAGATGATGGTGGCTCAGGACGAGGGTCAGCAGGGCTAGGATCGAGTCAAGATAAACTGGCCTTGATGTCGTTATGCCCGCGTCCTCTGCTCCATGGTCCTTGATAAGAACGCCTATCATCTTTGCGAGTGCGTCTGTAGCGACGAAGGCATCTGCAACTGTGCCTGTTGTGTGCGCAAAATGCTCGTACCTGTCAACACAGACGTCGACGGCGACCCTGATGAGGAGGAATAAATCGTCCTTGTTCCTTAGCAGACCTCTGGCCTGCATCTGTCGCGCAAAGAGCACCGCGGAATCGTCGGGCGCATTGGGGTTGCCGTAGAGATGAACCCATTCATCAAAAACATACTCCATTTGATCTCGTTGGTGCAAGATATCGGTGTCCGCTGCCACGCTCAGAGAAATACCTTGGCTTGACAGCTTCGTCAATAGCCGCTGAGAAACAGGCGATTCCGGATCATCGTGAACCAAAGTCCATGCGACATCCAGGGTGCGTACGAAGTCGCCGTATAGGGCCAGTGGCCGAGTCCCCAAGAGGGTCAGGTCAATCATCTGTTCCAGGAATTCCAGGGAACCTTCTTTCCGTTGCTGCACCGTCTTAGCCAGCGCAACGTCAACATTTCTCCAGTCGATCAAGTCTGTTCGCAACAGGGCAGCCAGAAGCGGCAGGCGAAGGAAGCTCGAGCCAGGTTGTTGTCGGAACAGTGTCGTAACTCGATTGTTCAACACCGGTCCAGAGATTTTGCGCAGTGTTTCAAGAACGTGAACCAAACTCTCCAGAGCAAGATTGTCTTCAACCTGGCTGAATATAAGCTGGATAATTTGCTCAGCAGCAAAGAGGGCGAATTCTTCCGAATTTTGTGAAGTCTTGATCATGTGCTGAACCAATGCATCCACCACGTCGAGAACGGGATGGGGCCTGGGCAAATCAATGAAATGGTCTTCACGGGCTTCTGTCGCCACACGTTGGAGCTCAACCAGGAGTTTCTGGACCCTCTCGAAGAGGGCTCGTCCGTCCAGCTGAAATGGCCTACCACTTGCGACGGCACCCAGATGTGGGGGTCCATAGGACGGCATGTGGGCAGTCAGGTGCTGCGCCGCGGGCGTCTCGGCTGGTGTGGAGATGGGCAGGGAATTGAATTGATCTGCCAATACATCGTTTGCCATTGATCTGGTTGTCTCCGATACCGATGGCGCGTGTGAGACGGTTGTGGTGTTGCTGGCCCGCGGTTGACGAGCGAAATCTTCATAGATCGCCATTTGTTCAGGATTCAATCCGCTGAGACTCGGTGACAGCTTAAATGGATTAGGTATGGTCCATGCCCACCGACTAAGAGAAGGATCGACGTATGGTTCGTTCGGTCTCTGCGCGCGATGGCGGCGGCGAGCGTCCAACTCGGTTTCGATCATCTCTTCAATCTCAGGCACCGCCCTCTCCTCGGCCTGTTTTTCAATGATGTTACAGGCGAGGTCTAAGTTCGAATTGACGCACATTATAATGGTCCCTTCAGGCAAGCCCTGCGGCAAGTCGTTGGAAAGGTTTCGCAAGTAGTTGGTGAAGTTTCCCCTGAGTGGCTCCTTGGACGTTACGAGTGCGAGGCTACCAGCAGTTGCTTTTACCATATTAATAGCAGATGTGCGAATTCTGTTTTCGTCGGGCTCCGTAGCAAAATCCTTGCGTATCATTTCCCTTGTTGAAATCGCCGCAATGGTCACCGATCTGTCAACTACCGGCTGAATGATATCTTGCAACGCGCGAGTGAGGGCAGTGCGCACGATATCATGCAGTCGCGAGGTGGCAACCACCATCTCATTGGTCGGGGGTATTTGAATCATTGGCGCGAGGTCTGGGATTGATGCTGGGAGAATTTGTGGTGACAAACCTGCGCTAACGCCTGTAGCTAGGCCGTTGAGCGACAGATTGTCAAATGACTCCAGGTTATCGTGACCGAGAAGCTCTAATGGCTCGTCGGCAGCAGTACGATTAAGAATCTCGCCCGAGGGCTCGATTGTCTTATGGTCCAAGCTAAGTCCTTTGCAGAGCACCTCGATCTCGAATTTAAGGTTGAGTTTGAGTTCCGCATGATGATAAAGGTCGATCAGTAGGTGAATGATATCCATGAGCCATGGGTTGGGAGGGCGAAAGACCGTTGAGTGAATTCCTTGAATCAGAACTTTGCAGACGAACGGAAGAACAACAACCAGCCTCTTGGTATCGTGTGCCTCGAGGAGAAGCTGCTTAAAAGCAATGTTCTTGTGCTTGATCGGTCTGTCCCGTGCCAAGGTCAAAAGTCCCAGCCAACCACCGAGATTCTTGAGGTGAGAGCGCTCGGTAGGGTTAGTGATGGTCGCCTCGGAGTTGAGCATACGTGCAACGCTGAGATAAGTCTCTCGCAAGACCTCCGCCCAAAGGACCTTGTCCTCGAACAGTTTCACCAAATCCAAGTAGACTTGATGATAGTTGGGTTGCATCTTCGCACGCTCTTCGACAAGATGGCTGGCAAACCACTGCTGGTGCCTCTGCTCGACCATGTCTCGTAGTTCCTTGCACATAGACTGAAGAGTGGTCTCTGTAAGATTGTTGAGGACGAACTGGATCTTTCCCTGGGTGTCATCCGACGGACTCTCAAATGCAAGCGCGGGGAATGAACTTTCTGCGTTGATCGAGGCAAATGGAGGTGCTTGGCGATTAGCATCACGGGACTCGTCAGCACCGCCGTTGGGGACAGGCTCAGCAGAGAACGCAGTTGCGTGGGTGGGTGGGTTGGGGCCGGTGCGCGAACGGCTGCCCTCTTCTTCATGTTCTCGGACAACGTCCTCGGCCTTTTTCCATGCTTCTGTTCCTTGGAGGCCGGGTATCTGCAGCAGTTGCTTGCAGAATCCAGGCCACTCTCTAAAACGTGAAAAAAGTTGCATCAAAGCTTGCAGACCGAACTTATACATGGAGACATCTGGAGGATAGTCTCTCACAGCTTCAAGAATCATACCCAGTCCGATCTTGAGCGGTAGATCCGCAATCAGCTTATGCGATATGATACCGCCAAATAGAACCGCTGTGGTTGCGAGCGCCTCGAGCGGATAGTCCACGTAATGAGCGTACTCGTCGAAAAGCCCATGAATCATGCAAGCGAAGACGTCCTGATCGAGGGGATCGCGAGAGTGTTTATACCGACGGAGGACGTCGACGATATTCCGAACCTGTATCTCGTCGCCGTACATCTTTTTGTAGTGCTCTTCCATTTTCGCATTTGCAGCCAATGGCAATGCATTGCCGTCAGCGCCGTTCGCATCGATAACGTCGTCATACCCTTCCCCATAGTTGATCAGGCGGGGGTAGACAGTGATACAAGACCGCTGCACCAGGATCAAGTCGTGGACCGGAGCCTTGGGCATGAAATCTTCCAATATCTGGAGAAGTGCCGAGACGGTTTTGACTTGAAGGGTCGTGGATTTGACGATGGACTGCCCATCAGGCGGGCGTTGATATTGTAGCTCAAGATTTGCCTTGATAAGCAAGAATTGTTGTAGGGATCGGGCTACTTCGGCGCTCCGTTCGGAATTCTGTCGAGCCCAGTGTCCGAGGTCTAGGTAGCCTTCTGCGTGTGCGAAAGCTGCGAGGTCCAAACCAAAGCCACTGGTAAGCGAAACGAGGTCCTCGAGCCACTTGTGTTTGACTGCATGCTCGAAGATTAGAGGCAGATCGGTCGGCTTGATGGCGTGGGCGTCAATAAGCCTTTGAGTCACCCATTCCCGGTCCCTTTGCCAAAGGCTATCGAGGACAAAGTCATACTCTGCAGATCTTTTGTAAAGGAAGTTATCGAACAAGGAAATCAATGTCTCGGTGGCCATTGAAGGCCAAGGCTTGGGGACCCCGAAAGCAGAGACGACAAAAATGTCTAGATTGGGTACAACGACCTCTTGAAATAGGCGTTTGGCCTCGACAGTTTGTGAGGCATGAACGGAATGAAGTGCAACATGGAAGACAGCAGCAAGGGCGGCTACTGAAACCAAAGGATGCTTCACCGCGAATGCGGCGCGCTGACGAACTTCAGAGGGGGACTGGGCGAAGGACTCGAGAGTCAGCGTTGGGCTTAAACCAGGTATCGTGCTCGCGTCAAGTTGGTCTGGCATCAGCGACGCGAATGCGCAGATGAAGGAGAGCTGTGTTTCCGGGTTTTCCCAGTTTCCGCCCCATAGTTGCTCAATATTGAGAGAAGACGAGCTGTCTTGTGCGATCGGTACGAGGGCATTGTAAAGCATCAAGAACTGCTGCGACGATATGCGGGCAGAGCGCTGATCGAAGTAGGTGACGACATCTTGCCAACGGAAGGTTGACGGTAGAACCCGCCGTAAAGCTGCGGCAAGAATGCCAGGGTCATGGTGAGGCGTTTGACTGATGGTTGTATACGTGAGTGCGATGGAAACCTGCTCCTCCGAGAGTTGCACATGAGTTGGCCGATTTTGCAGGTATGAAACGCAGGCATCATGATCCTTCGTGAAACCTGCACCCGTACGCTGTATGTAGGTGGCGAGGGCATTAGGCGGCTTGTCAGCTAGAACTCTAACCAAGTCCAAGGCAGCAAGAACTTCAGATGGAGGAGGCGCTTGATCACCGTCCCAGCGAGATTTCACCTTGAAAGCTAGCTCAGATTTCGAGGCTGCATTGAAGTTAGGTGGTTGGTACTGAATGAAGCGGTCGACGATAGTGGCAATGAATGAGTCGGTCAAGTCGGCATGCTCCTCGAGGTCTGGACGAGCGATGATGTTGACAAAAGTAGGAAAGTTCGTTGAGAGGATGGCATCGGCTAGGAAATACATTAGGGACGAGAAGACCAGATCGCAGCAAGGCAACTTACCCTTGGTCTTCAGGTCAGATCGCGACCCAAGCTTGAATGCAAGCGCAAGTATGGTCTTCTCGAGAGCATCAAGTTTAAAATGCTCCATGAAAGTCGACAGGTCAAAATCACGGAATATATCCTCTGTACCAGAATCGATGGATTCGGCAATTTTTATTGCTTGGTTCGCATCGTGAGCAATATTCCGCATTTCACTGACAAGGAGGTGGTAGTTTCCAGGATTCGAGACCGGTCGCGTCAAGCCAGGAAAAATCTGGCCAGCGTTGCCGGCAACAAGCCGGGTGAAGTATTTAGAAAACACCTCCATGCCGTGATCATCGAGGAGCTGCAGCAGGCGCCAAGTCGTTAGATGCTAGATAACGTGATGAAAGGGGGGGCATACCTTTTTAAGCTGATCCGCCTGGGTCTCCCGTTTGACGCGACCCTTATCCTCCTTGATGGTACTCAAAAGCAGGTATATCTGAGCAACGACAATCTTAGCCAGTGGATTGGTTCCGGTCGGGCTATGCGTGCTGGGACTCGCGCCCGAGCTAAACTGCCCTCCTTGCGACGGGTTGGGCGAGTGGCTGTTTCCTGTCTGCAGAGTCTGTGCAGGATTTGGTGAAAAAGATCCCGCTCTTGATGGCGGCACCATGGAGTACTTTTCGGAACAGGGAGCGATAGGGCAGGCAGAGCTTCTGTTCAGGTCGAACAGAGCAGCTTGCTCACTGAGCCACCTGACCGCTAGATGTCCGTGGATGCGTGCCGATACCAATCTAACGTCGTAGACCGATCACTGATCAGGGAAGGCGCGCGGCAGGTAATCGACTCGGCCAAAAGGTGTTTGAGAACGTTCAGGCAGGAAATGCCTGAGAGAAAAAACCGTTCGAGGTTAAAGACGTCGTTGCGGGCGACTGAGGGTCTCCTGACAGACAGTCCCCCGTTGGAGAGCGTACAATAAGGCTATAGTACGTCCCCTAGATGGCGACAACGTGGTGATCGCTGACAAGATAGTCGCCCGTGTGCCGAAGTTATAGCGTCTCGTTACGTGCGTTTGCTGGCTCAATACGCCGGTCGTGTCGTGATAAGAACTTTCCAAGGGTGAGAAAGGTAAGGTCGCGAGAGGAGAAATTGGCAGACTCGTGGTGCAATGGGACAGGTGTGAAAGAGTGCAATGGGCCAGGTGCAGGATGATTGATTGGCTTAAGCACTGGAGCTGGGGTCAAAGTAGGCCCGGCAGCGGCAGCCTTGGGCTCCTTTCCCTTCTGGGTCGATATACGTACCCTGACTACAAGAAGCCAGCGTTATTGGGTTGCCAGGCATTGGCGGGGCTACGAGTCGGGAAGGTCCTGTAAGGTAATTCGCCAGGCTTCCAATTGAGAGGATGGGGCAGAAGAGGGCACGTGTCAGGCCCAGGAGTTGGCTCACGTGCACGTGAATGACGACAGGTACCTACCTAAGTAAGAGTGGGCCTCAATCTTGCTCAGTGGCCTGCAAGCTCCACGTTGCTGTGGTAACTGTCACCCTTTTCAACAAAGCGATTGATGAATGGTACGCACGTAGAACAGTCGTACCTAGTGACGCCCTGGGCAAACGACAACCATCTATTCCAAATTACATGACTTGTCTTTCCGAGTACAACCGTACTCCTCTTCCAGTCGCAAAAAGTCGACCAAGTCGGTCGATGTCGAATCTGACGTCGCAGTTTCCTTCGAATAATTAAGAGCCCAAAAGTACTCCGAATACAAGGTTGCGTTGAACCCATTGCACGACATGCCAGCAGCTTCAGTGGACGGACCAGCTGTGTCTCTGTCCTGTATGTACAAATGTCTTGATACTTTAGGTGTATGCTGATGGAAGCAGTTGCCAACAATTTCTGGGGAAAGGAGGATGCCGGAGTCCAACCTCTCCTGGAGCGCATGCTCGCAGCGAAGCAGACTTCTGACGAACTGAAAGCATTCTACAGCGGTGAGATTAATCTCTGAGCACTGGCGCGGAGTTTTAGCTGCTGATTGTGGAAAAGCACGAGCGTCGATTGAAGATGATTACGCGCGGAAATTGCTATCACTGTGTCGCAAACCGCTTGGCTCCCTAGAGATGGGTAGCCTTAGAACGTCACTCGACACTTTGCGAGGGGAGGTCGAGGCCATGGCCAAACAGCACCAGAATAATGCTGCGCAGATGAAGAGTGAACTGGAAGAACCGCTTGGTGCCTTTGCTGGGGGGATGAAGGAGAGGAGGAAGATCGTGCAGAACGGTATCGAAAAGCTACTGAAGACGAAGATTCAGCAGACGCAGCACGTAAACAAGGTCTGTACTTGAGCACAGCCACCTGGAGTACGAAAAGTATAGGGGATCGAACTGTATGCTAACTGACAACTCGGCAGACACGAGATCGTTACGAACAGGAATGCCTGAAGATCAAAGGTTACCTCGCTCAGGGACATATGGTCATGGGCCAGGAGGAGCGTAAAAACAAAGCTAAGCTTGAGAAAACACAGATTTCGGTTGCAACATCCAACACGGAATACGAGCATGCAGTCAAGGCCCTTGAGGATACGACGGCTCGTTGGAACCGAGAATGGAAGGCCGCCGCGGACAAATTCCAGGACCTTGAGGAAGAGCGCCTCGACTTCACCAAAAGCAGCCTTTGGCAGTTTGCCAATATTGCTTCCACAGTATGCGTCAGCGATGATGCTTCATGCGAGAAGATCCGTCTGTCTCTGGAAAAGATGGATGTTGAGACAGACATAATTACCTTCATCAATGAACGGGGAACAGGCCAGGAGATTCCAGACCCTCCGAAATATATCAACTTCTGCAGAGGAGACGCCACTGACACGCAGTCCGAGGCGTCGGAGGACGAAAATTACTCGGTAGCACAGTTCCCTAGGAGCATTAATCCTGCATTCAGATCCTCGTCACCACAGCCGTCAACTTACGAGTCTCACCACGACCCGAATTCACACCTCGCCCAGAATCTCAGCCACAGAGAGCCACAACAGACACCTGGACGCGAAAGCGGGCTTGCCGCACGAGGGACGCCCCAAGTCTCGAGCGGTGTGCGACACGGTCAGGTCGACGCTTCCCAAAGTCATCATCAGCCGTCGCAGCACCGAGTTCCTCACGATACGACTCAGCATGGACCCTTGGCGGCAGTACCACACGACCCTTATCCACTTGATGGTATGACTATGCTCTGTCGCACAGGTCCACCCTCGGAGCGCAGTTCTCATCCAGCTTCAGCTCGGCCCTCCAGCCGAGACTCGCATAGCGAGTATAGCTACCCTACATCGCTATCAAGCCAAGAACCCCCCAGTGGTAAAGCATCCCCAACCAAACAAGAACAAGTACCACTAGAGGCGGCAACAGAGCGTCGAGTCTTCAAGAAGAGAAGTGGCTTTTTCCAGAACCACAGCCCATTCCGCCGCAAAAGCACCAAAGAAGCAGCCCAGTCGTCTTCCGGCAGAAATACTTGGCATTCTGCATCTCACGGCGGTCAAGCCAGTCCCAATCGACGTCCACAAATCTACTCGAAGGAGACATCTACGCTGCTCTCAGATCGTGCAACAAACAGTCCTGAGCCCATAGATGCGAATGCCAGCTTGGCACTAAACGTAGGCCAGAACGTGTTCTCCGTCACAACCCCAGATATGGAAAAGAGAATGGCAAACAAACCGAAGGCCACTCCCGAAGAAATTGATCCGATTGCGTTGGCACTTGCTGAGTTAAAAGGCGTCGGCGCAGACAAGCAAGCAACCGTCAGGGTGTCTGCCGACCGCTACCACGGCATCGCTACGCCTGCCCCCAGCTCGCAGCAGTCCTTTGCCAGATCGGTCCCACCGCTGGCTAGTAACAGCGCTGCAACCGCTGGCCTGAGGGGCACACCCCCACCCTCATATGACCAACAAGTACAAAGACTGGGTGTTCCTCCTGCTGCTGTCACTGCCAGGGCTATGAAGGAAACATCCCAGAAGTTCACTGAACAAGCACGCTCGGTGTTCGGCTCAGACAGTCGACCGGGCTCCAGCGGGTTTGCAGGCAATTCGACAGCACGCACTACAACCAGGGGGCGTGAGGTGCCCAGAGCTATGTCTCCAGCACCGCCTCGAAGTGTATCTCCAAGACCCGATATGTCCAGCAGTGTACGAAGTGCCCATCGCTCTGCTTCACCAAATCCTCGCCTAGCCAGCCAGCACGATCTGGGAGCTGGACCAGCCAGGCCTCAGGATCAAGACTACTACCGACAAGGCTCTCCAAACGATGTGGCAAGATCAGCGTCCCCGGCACCGTTCCGCGAGTATACAAGGTCCAATAGCGGTCCGGCGCAGGTTGACATGTCCGTTCAATTGGCGCCGCTCGGAGATGAGAACCATGGATCACAGCGAGGTCGGAATGGAGGCCGGCCGGGGACAAGCTCCAGTAATCGTGCTATGGGGCTTTACGATGGAGGAGGGCCCGCGCAAAGCGGTTCGCGTCAGCGAAGTAAGAGTGTTGCTGATCCTTCGCGACAGTACACTCGAGATGGCCGTGCCATTCTTCACTTCGGTAAGCTTGCGCCATATCCTTGTAAACTATGTTCTGAGCTTTATTGACTGTTGGTCCAGCGAGGGCAATGTACGTGTACCAGGCGGCCATTCCAGAAGAGCTTGGTTTTTCTAAAGGCGACATGATGGCTGTGCTCAGGCACCAAGATGATGGTTGGTGGGAAGCAGAAGTACATGGCGGTAATGGACGTGTTGGCCTTGTACCTAGCAACTACCTCCAAGCCTGCTGAAAGATCACGCATGGCAGGTAACTGAAGCTTTGTGCTCGAGCAGCGGACCAAGCTGGGCGCTTTGGGTATAGAACACAGTCACGTCATATAGCAAGCAAGCTAGTGTGAATATTCGTGCTGTTTGCCGACGAATGGTTGTTGGCCACGATTGTAAATTGTTCTGTTGGTTGGGTAGTTAGTCAATGCCAAATATCTGGAAAACGTATCATGCAATGGCAGGTGATGGCCAATCGAAAGACGACGTGGCACAGACTAAATAATTTCTATCTGGCTAGAGGGTACCTCGGTTGCTTGGTTGGCCTTGTTATCACCTTTGTTGTGAGACGCTACTGTTGATACATGCCACCAGGTGTATCCTCTGTAATTTCCACGTCATTCGTGCAAACACCTGGTATGGATCCAGAACACACGAGAAACAGGTATCTTGTCAACCTACTACCTTATTTTACACGCAAGCCAAGCGGTGAAACAGGGTACCTCAAATGAGTATAGCCAGATCTTTTGGTACGAAACATGCCGAAACTGGCAGGTCCTAGCTTCATAAGGCACGGTAGGCGCCAGTTCCAGCGTAAACTCCCCTGTAGGCTTACCCCCCCGCGCCCTCCCCCCTCCCCCTGGGACATCTTAAGCCTTCATGCCTGCCTAGGTTCATGCCAAATGTGTTTCCACCGAGTTTGCACATCCTCCGACCACCCCAAACAAAAGTTGCCGGCTGATCGCCACCTTCAAATGAATTTTAATTTTTCTTAAACAAACAGCCAAAGCCTTAAAGGACACTGATACTTCATCTCCGGCACACTGAGCGCTTAACTCAGGCCAAGCTCGGCACAGCCCAACAAGTTCTTCCCTCCAGCACAGATTGTTGTGACATGTCATATGATCATTTGCCAATAATCACTGGCATGTACTGGCGATCATCTAAGCTACCAACCACCATAGCCCTACTGGCCGGCGCTCCAGCATCACCACTCTTCAACACCAAGACGTAGCGTTTCGCACACGACTCCCGTTAGACCTAGCTACACCGGTTACACAAGACTGCAATGGTATCCCTGAACCTTGACTGACGGCTGTTCTTTGTTTGCCCTATTGGCGGCTGACATCTGGTGCGTCGCATAGGATTCACTTGATCGGGTGTACAGAACATCCACGTCGAAAGGCGCTCAGCGAGCGGCTATCAACTTGAGCCTTCTACTGGGTGGCTGTATTCCTTTGCTGTTCATAGCGACAGTCTCAACGGCTTTATTCTATCGAAGTTACATGCCTGAACAAATCATCAGTGTCCCGGTGTATCTCCAATATGGGTGAGTGCCCTCGCTCGTCACTGTTGCTGGCGGCACCCAATCACTAGAGGCTCACTGACAGCGCCGCCATAGGTCCGGACGTGACCCCTTTGGACTCGCCTATCTCGCAGATACGAACCTGAAGACGCAGCAGGCATACGATATCAGTATCGTCTTGACCATGCCCTTGTCGCCGACGAACGTTGAGCGTGGCAACTTCATGGTCGTCATGTGTCTCTTGAATGGCGAGACGGCGCCTGCGGCCAGCACAGGAACCCAGCGCGATGCAGATGGTCCATTGCGATTTGATGGACGGAGCATCGTCCTCCGATCCCGCCGCCCTGCACTGTTGCCGTATAGAGACCCATGGGTCGTTGCGGCTTCTCGCCTCGTCTTTCTGTTCTATCATCTCGTCGTGCCCAAGTCGCAAGTCTTGACATTAGGCGTACCGATGGCACACAAGATCCTCCTGGCTTCCCAACAGTCCGCCATGCCTACTGCCGCATATGTTGAGATCCAGGCTGGTCAAGATTTACAGACGTACGAGACGTCAATTGTTATTACAGCCCAGCTTCACGGTCTGCGTTGGGTTATGCATCACTACCGACTGCTTTCATTCATCACGGCTATCGTGCTATTCTGGGCAGCCGAGATCACCTTCATGATACTTGCTTGGCTGGTCTGGGGCATGTCGACAACAAGTACCCTTCCTCGATCTTCGGTACCAGAATGCACTGCCCCACGTGAAATCATTAAGACAGAGGACAGGGAGTTGGATGAGTTCTCTGATGTTCCCCGGACCTTTCCTACCTTGAGTAAACAACTACCACTCAAGTACGAGTCACAGCTTAACGAGGAGACTCCAGGGTTGCGACTACAAAACCAAGCAATGGCCGGAGTCGACGCGGACGATGAAGGAGACGGAGATAAGCAGGATATGTGGAGGGGCGACTCTGGCATTGGTACAAGCTACAGTGAGGCAGGAACAGGCAGTGGCGTGAAAGACATCAGGCGTCGATTGTCGAACCGCCGCAAGCACGAATCGTGAACAAGTTGCTGGGGACTGGGGAATTGAAGGTGTCGGTGGCATGTCAACCATTCCGCCCAGTTTCAATGTAGATAGCGATGGGGCTGCATGAAGCATTGACGATCCGCAATCCGCACTTCAGATCGCCTAATCAAATGAATGGTTTTCGCTCCTTGACTTGAAGTCAGCATTCAACGAGCTCCTGATTGCCGTCAGAAGTACTCTACTCCAGTGTATTTAGCTATCGTCAGTGTGTATCGTTATACCAATGATATGGTGTGGGTGTTGTGCAATTCGTCCACGTCATATGTTTTCCTGTCCAAAAAAAAAACACAGTTGAGTAGCAAGGGGGGCCAGGAGAGACTAGCTTATGCTTACTTCGTCCACTGGGCATTGCACATGAAGCATAATCATTCCGGAACACGAGAGCATTGCTCCAGTACGTTTCATGCTGATCGCAGACTCGAACGGCTGGGACTGACTTGAATCCTCATGTGAAGGAGCAGGGCTGAACACGAGTGTCGGTATCTTATTGCCATGCTGTTCATCTAGCCAGGTTGGTCGGGCGAGAGTTGGACCCAGAACAGTGTGTGGAAAGATGTGGTAAATGTCTCCAAACACTGAGTGAGCTATACCGACCGAAATCAGATTGACTGCCGTCTCAAACAAACAGCGGCTGTTGTTGCGCATCCGCGTTATCTTATCTGGATGTTGTATAAAAGCAATGGCCAACATAGAAGACCGATCGAGCAATTTCCATGCTGGGCGGACTGTGACGACGAGATTGACTTCTAGCTCCGACCTTTCTTGAGGGACTTCAAACACAGAAGCAAAGGTGTTGCCTACCTACCTACCTAAGGTGGGTACCGACACCTAAAGTCCCGGCGCTATCTTCCACCAAAGGGCAGCTGCTATTCGCTAACAGCACCTCCCATCTCGCCTGACTCGATCCCCACCTCCCCGCGAATATTTGGGAACCTCTTCCATCACCATCACCGCTACGACGACCACCGCTACCCCCCCCACCGCTCGACCTGACTGAGATTGGCCTCGGCCTCGAGAAGAATCACCACCGCGAGGCTGGGTCGTGTTGTCAGCAGTATACCAGCCAACATACACCATGCCGTGTTTCAAGGGAATCGCGGTCAGTATTCATGCCAACGGGGCACCACTCCCTGAGCATGGCATGCAGAAACAATCGCGATTCTCGCGCATCAGCACCTACATACCCGTTCCGCAGCCCCAGGTTGACCTCAGTAGCAACAAACCAGACCCTGCGAAGTTTGCCATCTCGATCACATTGCTGACTCCTGGCCTCCCGATCCCCTACTCGGCACCCAAGTCCACAGACGATAATCCGTACCCCAAGCCCCAGTACGTCGGAGGTCACTCCAACGCGCCTTCGGAGCGGAACAAGGGCTCATGGAACGTGAACCCGTACATTCCCATGACGAACTCGGAAAACGAGACTATTGCTGCTTACATCTATTTCGATGGCAGGTCAAAGGAAGAGGTGGCCACACTTCTCCGACCTGGCGAGGAGACATGGGTGAACAGTCGATGGGTTCAAGTCCCTGATGTCGAAGGCGGCGGGCTGGCAGAGCGAGAGTTCTTGTTTCGTGAGGTTGGATTGGAACGCTGGTTGAATGGCTTAGATTTAAAGGGCCACGATGCTGCAGAGAAGCTTGAACGACGTCGGCAAAGGTTTGAAAGGCGCCGTCGACGACAAGGAGCTACCATTGAACCCATAGCAGCGAAATCAGGAGATGGCGGCAGAGGGTCCCGAGACGCCTTCAGGTACGGCGCCGATGCAGGGTCTCCCGTCGAGGCTGTTCTAGACGACATGAGCTCCGATTCTCTTTCCGATGACGACGAACCCCCCGAGGCAACTGGGCAGATCAAGGTCCTCATGTTCCGGGTGCTTGCCTCTGGTGAGATCAAAAAGGGGGAATACTCTCCGCAATTCGATGCCCACGATGATGATGACGAGGCGGAATCGGCAACCAAAGACAAGAGCAACGGCGGCGGAGGGATGGATGCCGACGTCGAGCACACGACGAGCTTTGCCAAGCCTAAGACTCTCGATCCTAAGACGATCAGTACCCAGACTGTCACTGGAATCGATGGCCCAGATAAGCCATATGCATCATTTACCTTCTTCTACCGCGGCGAACGCAAGTACCATCAATGCACACCTAAAGATGACACACATCGAGACTAATGAAAACCTACAGGCCAGCTTCAGAAGATTGGAGTCCTCGCCTCCTCCAAGACCCCCCAACCCACGCCGGGCTCAGCCAAAAGGCGGTCTGGCCAGCTCGATTTTTCAACTTTGGGACCTCTCAAGTCAACTGGGACAGTCGGCTTCTCAACCTTTCGCGACCAGAAGACTGACGCCACAAGGCGGCGCAAAGCTCGTAAGAAGAGTATTGGGCAAGCTGGCAGCGCCTTGCAGGACGACAGTGATGATGAGGACGATGAAGACAGCGAAGTCCTTGGCAAGATGGAGGATATTGAAGAGAAAGACCTCGGCTCAAAGGTTACGCCTGAGGATGGCCAATATTCGGGTGAACTTGCTGACGGCGTGAACCGTATACGTGTAAGTTTGTCCAATATGATGAACCTAGCGAGACAAATCATCGTACTGACTGACTGACTGCCTCGAAACAGCTCAAACGAGCCCTGTCTGCGGATCCGGGCTCTGTGGCCACTGATAATGACACCACAAACGCGGGTGGTGACTCCGCCATTCAAGCTTCAATTGCTCCGCAGGCGGCCAGTCTGACGTCGGAATCAGCAGCGATTCTTGAGCCGACGCTACCGAACTCTGTCTTCGGCAGCCCTGTGAAGAAGCAGCGTCCGAGTATTCAGGGTCCAGGTGATCAGGTTCCGTCTCTCGGCCTGGCTGCGTCCCTGTTGGATGACAGTGTTGCACAGTCTACCATGCCATCTCAGCCGAACAACAAGAGAGAGGAGGTAGAGGAGGACTTGTGAAAGCGCCCCTTCAATGCTCGCAGGCTCTTCATCCGACTTGGCTGACATGACGATATGATATAAGGGAACTATCCTCTCACGAAGCTGTCGTGGCGCAGATGATACAAGCTCATGACTGCGGACAAATGTATATATTGCCACACCGACACCTCTTAAATTGGTCCCCGCTGATAGAAGTTGAGCCCATAAGCTTGTTGCTTGCAGTAACACATTTGGGATTACTGAGTCGAGACTTCTTCATGAGTGCCTGTATAATTTGGTACTAACCCTGCGTACGAATGGCTCATATTTAACTTGTTAGTATCAATACGGGGCCCTTGATTCCACTGTCCCGCGACATGGCATTCTGCAGTCACTCTAGGGGGGGCTTTCCTCCAAGGTGTAGAACGTTACGACATTTTCAAGCCAACCCTGACCAGCGAGTAATTTTGTTTCATGCACTTGCTCGTGCACACGTAGACAGATGAAATGCGCAATGGAATCAAGAGTGCAAATTATATTCTTCTCTACTATGTACATCATCTGAGGTAAGGTCAACGACCTCGTCTAGGCTCATGTCAAACAAAACTTCAGCAGTATGCGCGTCAAGCAGGTCGCATCGACTTCATCACGTGTCCCGCTGTCCGGCAGCTGGACCGAGGATATTGCTTGTGACAAGTGTCGCCAACGAATACCTGTTTTCTTCTGATCAGCAAGTGCTTCGTTCAGTGTGTCCAAGCAGATAGGAGTAACATCTGTTGTAAATTCAGACTGTTGAGCTTGATATATTGGATCAACATGAGGGTTCAGTTGGCCGTTCTTAATGGAAGATTGTGTCATCAGGAAGGAAGAGAAGGAAGAGAGTGCAGACGCTTTCATATTAGACTTACCTGTATTGAAAAAAAGTCGACTGTACAGTGAGTGGTTAGCCAAAGGCAGAATGGCGATGATGTTTATAGACAAAGAGAGATTTTGCCAGCGCCTGGATCAGATTGCAAGTTTTTAAGGCCCCTGGTAAGCCCCCTTAGAAGCAAGAGAAACTTAAGGGGGTGCAGTAAGCAAATAAAGACCCCGCCATTCATGTACTAAAGCGACATACGCAATCTACCTGGTCAGGGTACCTTAGTTAGGTACCTCAGGCGCTCATTTAGAGAGGGGAGCATGCCCAGGTGGTGGAGGGGCCTCTCCCAGTCCTTGATGCTCCAGCCACCATTAGCATTTTTGCGACATCTTGGTACATGAGCGGGACCTGATCAACCCCTCCTTCTAATCACGTCGCAGCCTGACCGCAAACCCATTCCGCTGCTCAACGACCGGTGCTCCAGACCATATTTCCTTCCTGGGTTCGACAACGCACACGCTTAATACTCGTAAATCAAGCCATAGGAATCTGTTACCATGTCAACTCCCAGTAAGTTAACCCAACCCTCCATGCGACTTGGTGTTCGCGCTTCACCCACTGCGATTACCCGGGGCTAACGCGCAATTTGTAGACTTCGAAGAGGTCGCGAGTACGTGCAAGAAAATACCAATACGATAGGCAACTCCGGCAACTGATCATTCCTGCACAGAGCAATTCGTCGAGTTCTACTACAACCAGTTTGATTCTGATCGCAAGGGACTGACCAGCCTCTACGTGGGTTCACTTTTGTATCTTCAACAACCACATCAAAGGCTAATATGTACATTCAAACAGCGCGAGCAGTCCATGCTCACCTTTGAGAGCAGTTCCGTTCTGGGTGCCACCCCCATCACCGAGAAGCTTTCCTCGTTGCCTTTCGAGAAGGTGAAGCACCAGGTTTCTACTCTTGACTCCCAGCCCACCGTTGAGGGCGGTATCATCATTCTCATTACCGGCCAACTTCTTGTACGTGTGCAAGCTTTTGCTGATCAACCAAATATCTCTATACAAAGACTGACGTGGCCTTACTTGGGTTCTATCTAGGTGGATGAGGAGCAGCGCCCCATGAACTTTTCTCAGACCTTCCAGCTCATGCGGGACCCTTCGGGCAACTACTTTGTCTTTAACGACATCTTCAAGCTGGTGTTTGGCTAAGCTTTGGAACGCTTCTAGAGCGTCTCTTCGCCAAGAAAAGACCAACTCGCTTGTTTCGGAGCGTTTTTCTTGCAGCACAGGACATGAGGCGATAGTAATGGACGCAGACCAACACATAGCAAAACAATACTCATGCATTAAGCCTCCTGGTTTGATAGACTGACACGATGCCCAAAGATCCCCACTGGTCTTTCTTCGCGGGTTCAAATCCATCCTCAGCTTGCCTGTATAGCATGATGTTTGCTACGCCATAACCCGAGTTTCTCGCACAGTGCTACTTGGCTGTCATTGTCGCAGTCCCGTCTTCTTCAAATATGAGTTGCGCATAGTTGCCACGAATTATCTCATGCGTAGGGTTGGCGATGGCTGTAAGTATGCTCGATTTAGGTCCAAGTCCGAGGTCTCGGATCCGGCCACTTGGGGCATCCAGCATATAGCCGTGGACCTGAAGATTTCGACTTGCTCTGTGTTCTTGGATTGTGACGTTGGCCAACAGTGCTGTCACGCCGTCCTCGATGTTCTTTTCGGCAATCAGCATCTCTCGGGCGCCGTCATCCTGCAGACACGAGAGCTCGTTGGACAGCTGCTGTCGAATTGCTCTCAGCGGTGCGAGCCAAGTGTCCAAAGTGCCGCCTACACGCTTCAGAGCCATAGCTGATTGCATCCCCATACATTCCGAGTGGCCACAGATGACGACGTGTTTGACAGCGAGATGCGCGACTGCAAATTCGATGACTGCCGAGGTGCTGATGTCTAAGGGCGAGATAATGTTGCCCACATTGCGGTGTGTGAGTATGTCGTTAGGATGTAGGCCTGATATGTTGCTCGCTGGGATGCGGCAGTCAGAACACTCGAGCCACACTGTCACGGTAGTCAGTCCTGCCCTCGATATGTCGCTTCTAGGGTATGCTGTGTCCGAAGACTCCGCCCTGACCTTCGGAACCGGAAGCTTATGACAACGAGAGACGACTTACAAATGGATGGCAACTGACTATCGGCCTGAGATTGCGAAACAGCAGGCTTCTCGCCGGTTTTGTAGCCCGCCTGGGGTTGGAAGCAACCCAACATATATGGAAAAGTGTCTGGGCCTATGAGCAATGATTTGAGGGCTTGGGGCGTGCTACATTGCCTCACCGTTGCTCGACGCCATACAGGCGTCAAGGTCTTAACTTTTGGCTAGGCTGGTGGCAAGTTGGCCAGGGCAAAGAACAAGAGCAGAGTGTAAGCGTCGTCCGGTATCGAAATCAGTCACAGATGTCTGGGACAGAAGTTTAGGCATCGGGAGCGCCCTGCCCAGCTGATAATTACTCTAAACCTCAGACAGGAGAACATGTATCAACAATAGCTACCCCCTTTGTGTTTGAAATCTAGACTCAGGACCAGGGAACACGAGAGGTCCCCGTGTAGCCAAGCGTCCGAACCCCATCCGGAATTTGATGCTGCCTTTTTCATGATTTGCATGGCTTGAACGAGCCAGAGCATCATAATCCACCCACCTCCAGGTTCTGAAACGCAAATCAATCACCTAGTACATCGCCAAGGGCTATCACCACCACCTTAATGTCCCTGTCCTGAAACAGGTGAAGCAACACCTTAACAGATGGCTCTTACATGACTGGCCTGTGGGTGCATGATAATTCTAGGCAAACTGATATGCCTATGGCTGCATCCTCCCGAGAGCGCAGCCTAGCATCACGGAAAGGAGTTACATCAACATGTCTCAAGGTTCGCCTGGGGTCATGCAGGTTACGGAGAATACTAGCATTGACTCGTGAACCGTGACTCCTATGCCTTTGTGTGTATTTGCCATACTGCCTGCCTCTTGAGGAGAGGCTAAGATGCCTTGACAGCAGTAACAGCGTAATCGAGCTGCTGCTGCTGCTGACTTTTCCTATCGCGCAAAAGCAAAACTGGGTATTTCGATGTCTTAGACCTTGATGGCCGACTCGAGAGCCTTCTTCTTCTTGGCCATGGCGTTCTGAGCCTTCTGGCCCATGATACCACCGCCCCACTGCTTCCTCGACTGCTCGGTCTTCTCCAAGTAGCCATCCTTGACGGCGGAAATAAGCTTCGAGAGTTCGCTCTTGTCCTCGGAACGGACCTCAGTAACGGCCAGAACGGCGGCAGTCTAGTCGCTAGTGTTAGTAGTTGAATATAATCCATTTCCGGCTGAACGCTCATACCTTCTTGTGGACAACGGTTCCGAGACGAGCCTTGCCCTTGATGATAGCGTAGGGAACGCCCATCTTGCGGCAGAGGGCCGGCAGGAAGATGACGAGCTCAATGGGGTCGACATCGTTGGGGATGAGGACCAGCGACGCCTTCTTGTTCTCGATCAGACCGACGACGTGGTTCAGGCCGTACTTGACCGTGTAGGGCTTCTTGCTGACGTCCTCCTTCTTCTTGCCGTCCTTGACGGCAGTGGCCTCCTTGACGAGGCGCTCCTTCTTCTCGGCCTTGGTCTCAGGGCGGTACTTGTTGAGCAGCTTGAAAGCCTGGGCGGCGGTGTTGCGGTCAAGGACGTGCTGGAACTGAGCAATCGCAGGAGGGACCTTCAGGCGCATGCTGAGGATCTTCTTCTGGCGCTGAAGACGGACATACTCGGGCCACTTCACCATGCGCGACAGGTTGCGGCGGGGCTGGATATCCTGACCAATGCCAAAGTTGCGGGCCTTGCGCTCGAGGAGAGGGTTCTGAAGTCATCATGATTAGCATTTTGCAGGAAGCGTGGGTCATAGTGTGACAGTTCTTACCTTAGGGCCCTTCTTGCCAGCCTTTCCCTGAGGGAAAGGGGCAGCAGCCACCTTCTTGCCGGACTTGGGAGGCTATCATTGAGGAAGAAAGACATCAGCGACTTGTTCAGACCACGTTGTCTTTCTTGAGCTCTAAAGAGACGACAATTTGCACAGATGTGCTCATCGAACGCCTCAAGCCATATCATCACCCAGTCCAGCAGAATTGCATTCTACTGAACTATGCAGGCGGAATGATTCGGTATGCCGAAGCAAAACCGAAAGCTATGCTCGACGAGCTTGGAATGATGTGAGCCCAGAGTGCTCGACATTGTTTTAACTTACCATTGTGACAGTTGTTCCTGCGGTTGGCGATTGTCGGTTAGTGGGAGGAGGGAACGACGGTGGTGAAAGTGCGTGCGAATTTTATTCAAGTGACTCGGTGGGAAATATTCATTGCGCTAAAGCTGTGGGTGGGGTCCTGAAGGAAAAAAAAGGTACGTACTCTCTGCCGCCTAGGGTTGCTGTGAGGTAGTTGTGGCGCATGGGGGCCTTCCTTTCACGTGATACCCGTGCCGTCTCTCAGTCAGGTAGGTAGGTACCTTAGGTACCTACCCACTGTAGGTTATGTGAACGAATCACTACAGAGCATTACCTAAGGTCTGTAGAGTCTGGAAGCGGTTCTTCTGGCATGCGGGCTGCAGACTGATGCTTGGTTAGAGGCCATCTTACCGACAAATAACCCTTTGCCTTGTCTCAATTCAATCTCTTGCGCTCGCCAAAACACCTCGTCGAACGGGGGCCGAAGCGATCTAAGTTATCTCCACGCTCTCTCAACAATCTTCAGCCTGGTTGTGTCAGCGTCATAAATATCCAGCGGGCCTTCCACCAAAATCCAAGTCGAGTCATCACTCAAGTAGTAAAAAGGCAAGATGGCGCCGATCATCTGCGCCAGGTGCAACACTGACCGAGCTGTTGTTAAGAGACCAAAGAATCACCAAACAATTTGCAAGGCGTGTTTCATCTCGGTGTTCGAGGATGAGGTGCATCATACAATCTTGTCCTCAAAGCTGTTCAGTAGGGGTGACAGAGTGGCCATAGGGGCATCTGGTGGCAAGGATTCGACTGTCCTTGCATCAGTCCTCAAAACTCTTAACGAGCGTCACGATTACGGACTTGACCTGATTCTTCTCAGTATTGATGAAGGAATCAAAGGGTACCGTGACGATTCTCTGGAGACTGTCAAGCGAAATGCCATACAGTACGACATGCCCCTGACCGTTGTGGGCTACGATGAGCTATACGGCTGGACGATGGACCAAGTTGTGGGAACCGTGGGCAAGAAAGGCAATTGCACCTACTGCGGCGTTTTCCGCCGGCAAGCCTTAGATCGAGGGTCGAAAATGCTGGGCATTCGGCATCTGGTCACCGGCCACAATGCGGACGATATCGCTGAGACAATCTTGATGAACCTCTTGAGGGGTGACTTGCCGCGACTGTCCCGGAGTACAAGCATCATGACGGGTGACGACAGTAGTGACGTCAAGAGGAGCAAGCCTCTCAAGTACTCGTACGAGAAGGAAATCGTCTTGTATGCCCACCACAAGAAGCTTGACTACTTTAGTACCGAGTGTATCTACAGCCCAGAGGCATTCAGAGGCACAGCCCGAAGTTTGATCAAGAATCTCGAGCGTGTGAGGCCAAGTGCAATACTTGACATTGTCAGAAGTGGGGAGGATATGGCACGCCTCGTTCCCGGGTCATCATCAAACCCCTGCGCTTGCTCAGGCCAAGGCTCAACCGAAGATGACGATGTGCCATCATGTGGTTCCAAACAGGGCCACAGCATGGGAAGCCAACTCGCCGTCATCGAAGCGAAGTCTAGCGAAGCCGCTGTGGAGAAGGCTTCAGAAGTTGATTTCACCTTCACGAAAAACAATAAAATCAAGACACAAGCGAATGGAACTACGAGAAAGGAAGCCTCATCCATCACGGACACGATGAGCGAGCTCCAAGTACTAGGAAAGTGCAAGCGATGTGGTTACATGACCAGCCAAGCTTACTGTCAAGCTTGTCTCCTGGTTGACAGTCTCAACAAGAACAGGCCCAGATTGGAAATAGGAAACAAGTAGCTCGGTCAACCACCTTAACAAGAAACAGTGTATAAAAGATAATGGCATTAATCCTTGGATCCCAGGGTTTTATGTTACTGCCCAACCTTGACTTGTACGTCTTGCCTGCATCCGCAATGGCACAAATAAATTGCCCTGTGGCACTTGATGTATGCTCTCAGTCTCAAGTCCTCAATTGAAATGTTCGGCTGCATTTCTAGACCCGCCATAAGTGATCGCGAAGAACCACCAAAGCTCTGCCCTGCCCATCGCCCCCAACTTGTTCGTCTGCCCGAATAGCTTACGAAATCCTCTTTTCTAGCTGTAATTAGGCTGTCAGCAATGTGTTCCTCTTTCAGAAGGTGAGAAGAACTGGGCTCAGCTCACTCTCCATGGGTTATTGAGTTCGAAACCGGTCGGAGCGACAGGATTGTCCGTCTGTCCTCTAAGGTTGCCCGTTAAGCGACGGTCACGATCCATCACTGTACAAGCGGTCGGATTAGCTGCATGCGATAGGATGGAGTATCGTAATAACGGCCTTACTTTGCTATGTAGCGGTCAGCAATGGTCCGTCCTGAACACGTCATGGTAGGGAAAAACGTACCTTGTCCCACTGGTCGAGACTGTACCGAGGCTTCTTGCCACCATTCTGAATACCCTTGACAACGGCTAGACCAGTGCCAGTGATACCAAACATCTGTGACAGGTATCAGAATCATCATTCAGAACGAATCTCTGGCCTTGCATACCGCAACGATGATCCCGTAAGGGATCAATGTCTCGAAAGGAACAGGCATGATTGTTGGCTGCTGCAATGTGTCGCAATGGGGAGGGGATGTTGAGACGACCGTGAGCCTGCCTTGCGGTCTTGCCGCCAATTGACTATTTGCGAATGGTCTAGGTGCAGTGTCGCGCGGCGTAAATGCCACTGGTACGTTGCGTTGATCGAAGGGTTGTCGCGATATCTCAAGTGAGGTCCCAATGGCAAGCATCTTAGTGGTCGAACATTGCATACATGCCAAGGGATCCTTACGTGATCAGCTCAACACGTGACCATACATCAACTTCCAATCTAATTAATTGAGTCTTCACTGACGGTTTTGGAACTTCCAGCGTTATCTTACGAATACGGCCTTATCTGAGCGACCAGTCCAAAGCCACGGGGTGTGCACAGTGTGTCGCACATTAATGGACTGTCTAAAGCAACAACACCAGCTTCGATGGAATTAGCTTTACTCCTCAACACCAGCTCCCGGGCGCCATAAGCTTTTTCTCTGTTAGTTTCCCTGGCTCGTAATCTCAGATCCTAGGAGTAGTACTCGGCAAACCGAACAGGACCTACAGTTTGCGTTCCTGCAAAGACAGCCCACCCGCCGCCCCTGGCACTCTGTTCGCACGCGACAGGCGCGTTTCAAGACCGCGTTGTTGCGCCCTGAAATGGGCCACCGACACTGCCTCTGAGCTCTTCGAACTTCTCACTAGACCCGCAAACTCAGTCATAATACGCATCGGATACAGAACCAGCTTGAAAGCCAGCCGACATGGCGAGTGCTCAGCTAGCAGCTGAAGAGGAGCTGCAACAAAGCGTTGTGGTTTCTGAGGAGGACTTGGAGCGCGATGAATCGGACTCCTCGAACGCGGCAATGTTACCTTATCAAAATCAGGACGATACATCGGAACCCTCGAGAACTGGGTCCGGCAAGCAGTCATACCTGCACGTCAATGGCTTGGAAGACTCGACAATCGAAAGACACGGCGGTCCTACAGCGACCTTGGTCTCTAAGAATGCTGAGTCTATCGAAGATGATGCGGAAGGAGAGGAGGACGCCCCGGGCGAAGATGACGGCGCTGCAGATGCCGACGAAATTGTGGACCCCTACTACGATGAGGACGATGCTGAAGGGGAGGAAGATGTCGAGCATGTTGTGCAGCTCAACATGGATCAAGATGACGGCGTCGGCGAAGCAGTTGAACAGTCCACAGAGAGTGTGCAATCTGGTGAAGATGAGGAAGACAACGATGACGAAGGCGTTGGCGCTGTGAAAATCCGGCCTGGCGACACCGACGACGAAGATGATGATGTCGATAGCGAACAATCACATTCAACTACCGATGGCTCGGAAGACTCGGACGGCGCAGCTGCCTGGGAGGATGCCCCAGAAAGTCACGAAGATGAGGATGAAGAGTCAGATGCTGCAGGTCGAACTTTGTGCTTGTTCTGCAAACAGGATGAAGAACATGACCCGGGCGAAGACTTTGAGGACTACCTAATGTGCTCTCATTGTGGCGAGAACTGTGCGTTTGACACCAAAGACGAGACTTTGCATACTGACATTTTCCAGCACATCAATTTTGCGCGCGAGAAACCGGTGCTTTGCGATCGCACGATGGTATGCGGCTGTTTTCTTTGAGCAGTAACCAATTTGACAGCTTTAAGGTGCCAGTACTAATGTTTGAGCGTAGATGCAAGTCTTTGGAGCTGTCCGAGCTGCGTCTCGTCTACAAAGCTGACCGCCGAACCTGCTGTCACTCACCTAGCTAATGGAACGACCCAACCATTGGTGCCTACAACTGGCGCTGTTCCTAACCAAACTCAACCCATTCTGGAGACATCTGATCCGCATATACACGATGATCAAGACGTTTTGGACAAGCAAGAATATCCCGATGTGGATGGCGATGACGATGAACATGCACGACTTCTTCGAAAACGCCGAACTTCTCTCTCTGAACCCGACGACAGTGCAATGTTGCTTCGTAAGCGTCGGCGGCGCACGCCTGAAGAACAACATTCGTCGCGTGAAACCACGTCTCACAACGCTCAAAGCGAGGCTGGTGAGACAGACAAACCTCGAAAGTTGCGCCTCAAGGTGTCTCGGAATCATGCCGCCGTCACTATCACCAGGCGGTCGAATAGCATGCTGATTAGCATCCGTGTAAACCCTGCCGGCTTACGACATATCATGGTGTCCAAAGCATCTTCAAATCGTAAACGGACGGCAAGGAACGAGCCGGCGCGATCAGTTCGACCGAGCCTCACAGCGCTGTCGACGCCATTCATGTCATCAAGTAGCTCTCAGCCATTCTACTCCTTCCTTGATCGAGAGACGGACGATATAAGAACAAAGCCCTATGGCGGCATTCTTACTGACGTCGAAGCTGACACGTCTCGCACGTTACCCACGAATGATGACCGCAGACGCTTTGACGAAGCCAAGCAAAAGGCTGAGGAAGAATGGAGGACTATGCACGTCATCCAGATCAGCCGCGAAGGCGCTGAAAAGGCCAAGAAGTGTAAAAAAGCGGCTGGTCCGGCTAGCCAAATCGAGTGCATCGAGTTTGGCGGTTGGGAAATCGACACGTGGTATGCAGCACCCTACCCCGAGGAGTACAGCAGGAATCGGATTCTGTACATCTGCGAATTCTGCCTCAAGTACATGAACTCTGACTACGTGGCATGGCGCCATAAGCTCAAGTGCCCGGCTAAACACCCTCCCGGAGACGAGATCTACAGGCACGGGTCCATTTCTGTGTTTGAGGTGGATGGGCGCAAGAACCCGGTCTATTGTCAGAACCTCTGTCTGCTTGCAAAATTATTCCTCGGCTCGAAGACCCTCTACTACGACGTTGAGCCCTTTCTGTTCTACGTACTATGCGAGTACGATGATCTGGGCTACCACTTTGTCGGGTATTTTTCGAAAGAAAAGCGAGCCAGCAGCCAGAACAATGTGTCTTGCATCTTGACACTGCCGATCCACCAGCGCAAGGGCTACGGCAACCTTCTGATTGACTTCTCCTACCTATTGACACGCGTAGAGAAAAAAACCGGCTCTCCGGAGAAGCCGTTATCTGACATGGGTCTTGTCTCGTACAGAAATTACTGGCGGCTCGTCATGTGCCAGTATCTGCTGAAAAGATGGGATGGTGGTGGTGAAGACCGAGGGAGCCCGGTTGGACTGAGTTTCCGTCAGATCTCAGACGACACAGGACTCACCCCCGATGACGTTATCTCAGCACTTGAGGGACTGAGGTGCTTAATTCGGGACGCCAAGACTGGCCTATATGCCTTTCGGCTAGACCTTGCGTACTGCAGAGAGTACGTGTCGAAGTGGGATGCTAAGCAGTACGTCAAACTCCACGAAGAGGCTCTGGTCTGGACGCCTTACGTGATGGGGAGAGGAAACACGACAAATTTTGAGCTGGGCCCTGCCATCACTGCCATGGCTCCCCGGGAAGAGGAGGAAGACCGCAAGATAGTCGCGCCGCCACTTGTTAATGGCGTTTCAACGGGCGTGGCTTTGGAGAGTCAGGGCTCGGTTCTCGTGCCTGCGGAGATCGGTCCAGCACCCGAGAAGCTTACTCCAGTAGATGGTGTAGCAGATGAACAGCGCGCCTTAGCGGACCAGGTCCGCGAATCGACAGAGCCTCACGACGACCCTGTTCCGGCGGCTTCCTCCACACCAACACAGTCGCAGGCAGCGGCAGGGCATGCGTCTTCGAAAGCCTGGTTCGAGCAGTACGAGGGCATTCTCGCGTCCCGTTTCGAGGTCTACCCGCCAGCCGGTGGGCGGCGCCAGGACCGCCCACGGGCCTCGATTCCGCGCCCTGCAATCGTCCGCACGGCCCCACTCAGCAGCAGCAGCAGCGCCAAACCCAGACGGTCAGCGGGTGGCGGCAGCGTCAAGCGGCCATCTGCGAGCAAGCCCAAGACGAGCGGGACCTCGCGCCGCAAAAGCGGTGGCACTGGCCGCGGCCCAGGCCGTTGGCCCAAGGGCACAAAGAAGAGCGACTATGGCAACGCCGACAGCGGCCCAGGCCTGCCGCCGGCATGGGTGCAGGAGCGCCAGAGGCTCCTCGCCGAGAGCGCCAAGAAGAAGGGAACCGGCGCGGCTGCGCACGAGGCGGCCGGCGGGGAAGCTGCCCGGGTCCAGTTTGAGGATCTGGTGGCGTTGCATGGTGACGCCAGGGTGCCCGGGGCGGCGGCACCTGGTGGTGACATTGCTTACACCAACATTGCGAGTGATATCCCGGCTGTTGGAGACGAGTAGCAAGGTCCGAGACGATCAGGCGTCTTTTGTTACTCATCCTTCCACATCCCCCCCCTCCACCCCCCCAACGATTCCTCCCCCTGTGGAGGCAATGCTCACAAAGCCATGGTCATATTCGTGTAATTGTATGCGTAAATTTTTACTTTCAGCCTTTAAAGAGAAGCAGCTCGACTGCTATTCCGAGACGAGTACGTAAGGAATTTGACGAATACGTGACGTGTCTCATAACCACAACATGTCAAACAGAGGAATGAGACCAACAATCTAAGCAGCACGGCCATGATTCCAAGTGATATTGTGTGTGTTGTCGTTGTTTGCCGGTTAAAAGGTGTATGGATCATGTCCCACCAGTTCAAGGGAGCTCATATGGCTACATCAAAAGTGACCAGACCCCCGACCGTCTTCCTATTCGGTCGCCTTTACTCCATACCGATGCGTTGCTCGTATGCCACAATGGACACCAAAAACCCCTTTCGTTACAAACGCCCTTGGATATGTCAAATAAAGCAACCCATTTGACGCCATCCGTTGAAGACCCCAACCGCACTCTGCCAAAGCTAGCCACAATTGCCATCTACTGCGTGAGTCGGAACTGGCTCGAGCCACGATGGTGGCGTCGTTACAGTACGACTTGGTAAGAAAAGCTACTCCTTAGCCGGCACAGCGTGTCCGTTAGAGCAAGCATTCCCGCGATATCTGTTGCCATACCCTTCTGGTAGCAGCGTCACCTTCTCCAAGAGCAGAAGCCCTTCATTTCGGTGGGGTCAAGGTTAGGACTCGGTGGTCTCGGGACCGCTCGCATTGAGTGCCTCTTTCGGAGCCGGTATCCCTTCATCCTGACCCGCAACCTCGGCCTCGGTTGTAGGTGTTTCGAGCCCTATTCCCCCGGCATGATCATGATCCGATGCCGACTCACGCGCTTCGCAGCTCCGACTGTGGAACCAGCCGCCACGCTCCCATTCTCCTTCCTGGTAAAGGCAAGACGTACGCACATTGTCGTCGACGATGCCGAGAAGCAGCGTGTGGAGTCGTTTAAAGTCGACGGGTTTGAGAATCCAGCCGTCGAATCCGGCATCTGCATACGTCTTCTTCTCGCGTTCGATCAAAGAAGCAGATACAGCAAAGATGGGAACCCTGCCATTATGAGCAGCTAGGGCTGAGTGACGACAATTCTCGTGCGATTGCTCAAAAGACCGTATCATCTTGGTACTTGTCAGGCCATCGACAATAGGCATCTACCGGTACATTGTTAGCGACAGCTGGCGAATTGGATCTGGATCATGCCAGGTGGGAGGTAACGGACCTGCATATCCATGAGCACCACGTCAAAGGTCTCGGACTTTTCGCGAAAAGACAAGGCGCATTCCTCTCCATTGACTGCATGGTGCACCTCGTGGCCAGCCTTTTCAAGTCGTTTCCTCAATATTCTTAGATTGATGGGATCATCTTCTGCAATCAAGACCTGCAGCTTTGTGCCGTCCAGGTTGGGAAACGAGCTCGTCGTTGTGTCCGTCTCGGAGGGCGCTGGCTGCGGCTGCTGCTGCTTCGCGGGCTCGGGAATTTCGTAGAGCACTCGAGATGACGAAGGAGCCTCTTTAGGCTGGTCAAAGTACTCATCGGGTACTTTCACCGGTCGGATCGGCGTCTTGGTGTCTCTCACAGCGACAAAGCCGGCCGTTGGCTGGCTGGGCAGGACGATTGCACCTGGCGACCTTGGGTCGCTGTGCCGTGTGGTCGCAGGGCTCACGGATCGCGCTGTCGATGCGGCGTCTGTTCCCGTGACGCCGGAGTCGTCTCGACGTCCCTTGACGGCTCTGTTCCGAGACGGAGACCCCATGACATGCTCGCCAATGCCCAGCGGGGTCTGGATTGCGTCGATGAGTCTTTCCGCATCACTGAGGGAGCTGTGCACACTCGTGCGGCTGCCTTTACTACCGCCTCCGCTGAAATGGCTACTGATCTGGCTCCTGAGACTCCCCGTCTCTATGACGTGGCCGGTCGTCTCGCCAGGGGACTTGGCAGCGTGCGAGGCTGTCCCTCCGTCGACCAGGACGATCTCACCTGCGCTGGGCTGTTGGGGTTGCTTCGTGGCCGATGCGGAATTCGCGTCGGGCACGGGATTGCTTTGCCGGCCAGATCCTACTGAAAGCGAAGGTGACTCGTCTGGTATATCAAATGGCAACTGCATGACAAAAGTCGACCCCTTGCCCTCCTCCGACTTGAGCCGCAGTTGGCCGTTCATGTTGCGTATAATTCGAGCGACCAAGGCAAGCCCCAGCCCCAACGTCCGCTTGTCTGACGAAGAGGAGTCGTCGTCGGCAGTCAACTGCCTGCTGCTGTCGGGATTGACCTGCTCCAGGTCACGGAAAAGCGCATCGAGCTGCTTCGGGCTCATGCCCCTTCCCGTATCCTGGATCAGAACCTCGATCAGGACTCGTTGCTCTTGGACCTCGGCCACGTATAATTCCACCTTGACACTTCCCGAGTCGGTGTGCTGAACGGCATTGGCTGTCACGTTGGAGATGGCCTGTCTCACCCTGCGGCTGTCACCATACACAAAGGATGGCAAGCCAGGATCCTCGATGATTTCGTACTCGATAGCCTTGCGCTTGGCCTCATTTTTAAAGGGGTCAGTCGCTTCGTGAATGCAGCTGGAGAGGGCAAAAATCTCGTCTTTGACCAGATCCTGCCCCTCTTCCGTCTTGGTGAGGTCGAGCAAGTCGTTAATGACATAGATGAGTGACTTTGAGGCCGAGTGGGACTTGGCCAGATTGTCACGCGTCTCTTGGTCCAGGGAGCCCTCCAAGGCGATCTCGAGGTAGTTGATAATTGCGTTGAGCGGCGTGCGGACTTCATGCGCCGAGTTGGCCAAGAGTAGTTTTGTCAGCTTGCTGCTCTGCAGCGCTGCTTCCTTCTGCCTCCAGACCTCGATGAACTTGCCGTAGACGAGGCACAGCACGGCGGCGGTTTCCACTTGCTCTTCAGTCCAGTCTCTGCACTTGCCGACCACCGTCTCGTGCCACGTCTTGAAGCTTTTCCTGGGTTCCAGGTACGCCTCCGTACCTTCGCGGAGGATCTTCTCATAGGGGTTTCCGGCCCACTTGACCTCTTTGACCTGGCCCCTTCGGAAGAAGACGATAAAGTCGGTGCCCCCGACGCTCAGCGGCACGTAGAGCAGGCCGGCGATCGTGACAAAGCCGGGTTTGTAATGCAGATCCGGGAAGTCCTCGCGAATGTCCTGCGTGGTCACGACGGACGACATGTGGCGCATGCGCAGATATTCCAGCATGGCAAGCGGCTCCGACGACTCTTCGACGGGTCCGAGAATCTTCGTCTCGCCGTGGATCGACAGCATGCCAAAGTCGGCATCAAAGAGCGTCAGCAGATCATCCGAGGATGCGACGATGTAGCCCGAAGGGCTCTTTTCAGAGGGTGCCGTGTGAATGAGTTTGCGGGCCTGCAGTCTCGAGGCGTACGACAGGCGTTCAATGTTGCGCGAAGCCGTGTCGCCAACGAGTCGGCACATTTTTCGGATGGGAAACGAGACCCGCATGCCCTTGGCACCGTAGCTGTGACAGGCGATGAGGCCCCAGAGTTCATTGAATGCGTTGATAGAGATGGACATGGAGGAGCGGACGGCCATGTTCTTTAGGTATTTGAGGTGAATGGGCGACATGGCGCGCAGATAGGCGTGGCTCATGTCGAGGGGAACGTCGAGATCCTGTTGCGTCTTGCATACGAGCCTCGCCGTCTCGACATCCCGGTCGTAGAGAAGTCGGACCTTGTTGAGCTTATACAGGTCACGAGCTTGCCGCGGGATGTCCGAGGCTGGGAAGTGCAGGCCTCTGTAAAGATCGCGCGTGTGGCTGGTATCGACGAGCTCGGTGACGACCTTGCCGTTGAAGGAAGAGTCAAACTGGTAAATCATGACGCGATGAAAGCCCGTCAGCTCCTTGACGATGCCGACAAGAACTTTGAGGAAAGAGTCCAGCGAGGGTGCCGCCGCAAGCTGTTCCTGCACCTGAGACATGATGTCGAAAACCTGCATGGCGCCGGCCTCGCCCCTCTGCCTCCTCGCCGTTCTCAGGACCCTCAGCGGTTTGCTGAGTATCTCGGTGCTGCTGGAAAGCTCCTCCATGGTGGGGTCGGATCGGAGGGTGTCTTCAGGCGCGTCGGGAACGACCTCGTCTGCCGGGCGTAGGGGGTACAGGTGATCGTCGTCGAGCTCAAACTCGCAAATGATGAGGTCGGGATGAGCTGGGTTGATATGAATGGCGCACCACAGCTTGGTGCTCTTTCGTCTCGACGAGCGGACCGTCAAGCTGAACACCTCGGGCCCGTTGGTGGCAGGATCGGCATCCTCATCCCGAATAAAGTCGATGTGATCGAGGAGGTTGTCTTGTTGCTCCTCGCTCAAAATGTCGAGAAAACTTGCCAGGTTGAAGAGCTGCTTCGGCGAGTAGCCAATGATGCGCTCTGAGTTTTCGCTGGTGTAGCGGACCGAAAAGCCCCCCTCCTGGTCTTCGCGAAGGGCCAGCAGCAGGCCAAAGCCCTGCACGGCGCCAGGGGTATGTATCGGCTCGTCCTCGCAGTGCTGCAAAACAGCGTCGGGCCCTGTAATGACGGCGTGGCCGTCGTCCGTCGTGACGTGGCGGAACCTCGGCAGGATGAGCCCGTGGCTGTCAGGCACCGAGCCGGCAGGCGTCGAAGCCGGCTGTGCGTGCAATGGCTGGCTGGTGTTCGACCGGTCCAGACGGGAGGAGTGGCCCCCCTCGGAGCCGCAAGCATCGCTTTCAAAGATGGGCAAGGGCGTCGAGTTGGCGTGGCGGGCGGCGTCGGCTTGTATGCTCGATATGGGACCGGAGGAGGTATGCTTGCGACGGTTTCGTGCGGTCTGGCGGTCGCCGGTGGGGGACGTGACGGCGGAGGCGGCAGGCTGGGACACCGAGTCGGAGCGGCGCGGGCGCGGGGCGTCGGGTCGAGCTGCGGTGTACTGGCCATGGTCGGGCATGCGTGGGAAGTAGCCGTGCTCGCCAGACGTTCGACCGGCGGGGTTGACGCTGACGACGGATCGAATAGGGAACACCCTGTCGGACAGGTCGGGGCTGTGACCGGGTTGACGACCTGAGCTGGCGCTCCATGAGGAACGGGCGCTTGGCGTCTGTTGAGGCACGGGGTCGTGTCCCGCGTCTTGCGTGGCTGCGGACGATGGCGGAGGTATGAGGGGGATGGGAGATTCGACGGGCTGAAGGGTGGATTGCGAGCTACCATCCATGGCGCCTCCGGACAAGGGCGACTCGTCGGCCTCGGATGGTGGGGGCAGGTCATTCATGTTTGCTGCTGTCTGCTGTGGCTGGACCACGAGCCTCTCTTCGAGACGTGGGCAGCACTGGCCCCTGGGCCTATACGAAATCCCCGAAGGCTACCCAGGCGCGCGTGCGAGGAGCGCGCGGAGTCGGTCCCCAGCGCGAGGAACAGTGAGGCGCAAATGGGCGGGTGGCGAGTGGCGAGGCACGAGTGGCAGGCGGCGGGCCAGAGCCGCAGGCGGCGACGATCAAGGGCTGTTGAGGGGCAGGTGTTGGCTCGCCAGGAAGCAGATGAGGTTGTGTTTGTATCGGCCGTTGTCGTCGTCCAATTGTGAAAGGGGAACAGCGAAACCCGCAGAAGGGTTCGCGGAAGGGTTCGCGGAAGAGATTAAAAAAAAACTTATCAAAACATCCAGGTCAACGTGGCGATCGAGGTGCAAATGTGCAACGTTTGTGATAGTTGGTGTGCTGTCTGCGATACGCACCAGGTGGAGCATAGAAGGGTCGATGGGACGTCAGAAGTCAGATCGGGATCAGAGGTCAATGAGACGGCCGGTCGGAGAGGTTTTCTGCATGCTGCACAGCCAAATGCTGATAGACGACGTCAAGGACCGGCCGGGTTGGTTGATGTGAGGTGGGCGACAGCCAGCCAACATGAACGGCAAGACAGGTAAGCAGCCAGCCGAGGAAGGTAAGTCGTTGGTAGGTAGGTAGGTAGGTAGGTAGGTAGTTGAGTCGTCGTGGTCATCGGGTTTCCGTCAATGGTGGACACACAAGAATACCTAGCTGCCTTAGTTCAGACGCCCGATGCACGCAACGCGGCTCTCGACACGAAACGGTTTTTTTTTCTTGACGATCTGTCCGTCTGCCTGGCTGTCTGTCTGGCCCCGACAGACGGTCTGGATGCTCGTTTTCAAATGACCAAGCTGCTCGGCTCGGCGGTTCCTTGTGCTCGTTTCCTTTGCTTGCGCCTAGCGGCTTTGTCCGTGTGCCTTCTCCTCAGCATCGCCTTCCTCCCCTCCGATTGCCCCCTTGTGCCTTCCTCCTCCCCCCCATGTACCGGGCGGGTGCTACGTTCAGGAAAGTACGTTGGGCAGATGGAATGGTCACCGATCGAGATGGGGTCGACCGCGTCCGTGTCCAATGGCACACTAAGGTACCTACCTAAGGTACTGCGGGGTGGTCGTCCCGCGCACACAGCACGGGCCCCACCAAACAGCAAGCGACTAGACCGATCCCCCTCCATTCCCCTGATCACGGCGGCCGTGGCAGTCGCAGTAGTCGGGAGCACCTACTTGCTTTTAGCACGAGCAACAGCCGCACCGCGCTCGCGTCTGTTCTCTCTGTCCATTTCCTCAGCCGTCTCCGGGCGCATCGGGGACAAGCGCCGACCTGTGTGCGAGGAAGAGCACGATACAGGGGAGAGAGGAGAGGTGCAAGGGCAAAGGGCACGCTGCCCACGAACTTGGCCCCTGAGGTGCTGTGGACTCGGTTTTTCGTTTGGGTCTGGAGGGCAGGGTCGTGATTTCAAGAGGCACATTGCAAATTCCCATTCGCTCAACATGGCAAAAGATCGGCAGATACAGAGCGATTGGCCGAGTGATTGGCCCACCAGCTTTGGCCTTTTTGGCACCCAGAACCGCCGGACAACCTGCTTCATGGCGTCATGGGCGTGGAGCGGAGCCACATGGGCGAGACCTCGACGGGCCCTGGAGGCCTGGAGCATTAGGTCCGGAGCCCACTCCGATGCCCCATGTTGCAGTGCACCGTACCTTTACAAGGGGAGATGGGTTGAAGCATAGATCAATCCCTTTACATGGCAGGCCCCTTTACTTACATTTCCCTTTCGCTTCTATGCAGATACGCCTCGTACGATGAATACCCTCACCCCTTGAACATGTCCCTACGCCATCTCGCTACAGCTTGCTGGGCTTTTCTGCCTGCTGCTGCTGCTGCTGCTGCTGCTGCTGCTGCTGCTGCTGCTGCTGCTGCTGCTTCTCGCGCATCGTCTGCGCGCTCTTCAGCAGCGCGTAGAGGCTCTGCAGCCGCGGCATCTCGACGCCCCGCGCCCGCGCGATGCGCACAGGGTTGCCGAGGATGACCTCGAGCTCCAGCGGCCGTCGGGCCTCCCAGTCGAGCAACATGCTCGGGCGCGCGCCGGCGTTCCTCTCCGTGCTCGTGACGATGCGCTCGGGCGTCGCCGTGCCGGCGGGAAAGGGTCGGCCGAGCACGCGCGGCACGGCCTCCCAAATCTCGCGCATGACGCCGAGGGCGTGCTCGCGCAGCGCCGGGTCCGACACCATGTCGGCGTTGCCGCGGCCGCCGCTGAGCACGGCGCTCGGGTTGAAGGCGGCATTGATGCAGAGCTTGTGCCAGCGCACCGTCTGCAGCCCGACCTCGTCCTGGACGTCGACGTCGCGGATGCCGCCCCATGCGGGCCCCCACCACCGCCTCAGCGCCTCGACGGCCGCCGTGCCGCGGGCCGCCACCTGCGCGTCGCCCGTGCCGAGACCGTCGGCGTACGGCCCGATGCTGATGCGCGTCCACCGGTTCTGCCGGATGACGCCCGGCGACGTCTGCTCGGCGCTGACGACCGTGACGCCGCTGACGACGGGCGTGTCGGGGAACCGCGCGCGGAACGGCGCCTCGACGCCGACGCCGTTCTGGATCAGCACGATGCACGATGCCGGTCCCACGAGCGGCGCAATCATGGCCGCGTCGTCCGACCGGTCCGGCAGCGCCTTGGTCGTCACGAAAATGTAATCCCAGTCCGCCACGGCCTCGGCCGCTGCCGTCACCGAGGGATACGCCGCCTCGGGCGCGAAGACATAGTCGCCAAACGAGTGCGTCTCGAGCTTGACGCCCGACGCAGCAATGGCCTTGTAGTTGGACCGGGCGACGAGTGACACGCGGACGTTTTTTTGAGGCTATTGCACACACGCGGCGTTCCCTCTGTTAGTTCTAGAAGACACCATGATGCCAGAGGGCCGGAAGAGGGGGGGGAGCACGGCTTGGCACCGGCCGGTGTATAGCCAAAACGCACATGATGCAGGCGCGAGGCGTAGAAGCATCCAACTGCTCCTGCCCCGATGAACACGGCGTTAATGGGCCTTGGAGTGTCAAGAAAGAGTCAGCATTCTCTTGCGCTACGGCGATCCTGAATAGAAAGACACTGAAGCGGAGGCGCCGTGGTGCGCTGGAAGGATGCCTTGGTCCCCACGCAATCTACATACCTCGGCTCGGGCTCACGATGAGACGCCATGATGGTGATGGGCGGTGGGAGGGCACGACAGTGAGAGAGCACGAGGAAAACAGGGAGGCTCTATTCAGGGCTCAAACTGAGAGGACGAGGCGAGTGGTAAGGGACGCGTGTGATGGTGATGAGGAACAGGATGCTTGGCCTGGAGGTGAGGTGAGGTTGAGTGGCATGCACACTCAAAGCACCTCGGCCGGCCGCTGACGTTGCTGTTGCTGTGGGGGTCGGCTGCAGTCCGTCCACCAATCCTCCCAGTGGGCCTCTGTGGGCCGTGGTGGGAAGGCTGGGTTGACCGTCGACTGGGTTGGTCGGCACCACGCTGGCGGCGAGCCAATTCAGCATCGCTGCCATGGCGCCATCTGCCCGCCTCCCCGCCAGTCACACCAGCAGGCGACAGCGGCGGCACTTGGCGCCTCTCCTCGAACCCTTCCTCTTCGAAGTGCCGCCACAATCAAGCCGTCAACACCAGGTTGTAACATCCCATTGGCGAAACGAGTAGCAGAATCGACATGTTGATCCATTCTCCAATGCTTGTCGCCCGTGTCTGTGAATCCAGGCCCCCCCCCTTCAGAAACAACCCTACATCCATCTGTCTAACGTACGCCCCTGTCATGTGTCCCCGTTTTACCCAAACTCCCATCACAATCGCGCTACCATCATCGTGAAGCCCTTCGTGCGCTGTGTGCGCTCTCTTGCCTTGCCGTCAGCTTGATCGCTCGATATCCCGAGGTGGTATTCCTGGACGTGCGTGCGTGCGTGCGTCCCACTGCATTGGAGGCATCTGGAGGCTCGCAGCAGACAAGATTGACAACCTCGTCATGTGAAGCGCCGAAAAGGGCAAGGCAACGAGACAAACACGTAAAAACAGAACCGGAAACCCGCACCTTCTTTCTTGATGCCGTGAAATGGCACCGTGAATGATTTTCTTGTAACAAAAGCACGAAATCCTCCCTGAGCCCTTCCGACCAATGGAAACCATAACCATGAGGCGTCAAAAGCGACAATCCAAGCGTCGCGTTCTTCTTCTGCTTCTTCTTCTTCTTCTTCTTCTTCGTCGTCGTCGTCTTCTACTTCTTCACCAAAGTCGACCCCTTTTCCGACATCGTCGAGCCTCGTCAAGCAAGCTCTAACCACAAACAAATGAACAGACACACAAGAGATTCGAGGAAAACCAAAATGATGCGCCGACTCCTCCACCCGCCCCAACATCACATATGAGAGATACGTGACCAATAGGAGAAAAAAAAGTGTGCCCTCCTCTAAGTGGCCCCCGCCCCAGATGGCGCCGCCCATGCAACGAAATCCCCCCCCCCCATCCCTTCCGCGCTGCGCCGTATGCGTGCACCCAGCGTCTGTAGTTTTGAAATGTGTATATATACGTATCGCGTCTCGCTCCAAGTCATGCTATGCCATAAGTCTGTGTCGAAATTCCGAGTCTCAATTCTTTGCTTTGCGTCTGAGTCTATTGAGCGCTGCTGGTCCAAGTCTCGGCCCCGAGGGCCACGCCGTCTGTCGATTCGTTGTTGTTGGCGCCGCTGTACGTGGCGATGCCGTCGTTGAACTGCTGGCCCCAAAAGACGGGGTCGTTCTCAAAGTTGTACGAAGCCCCGGCTACTGGTCCCGCGTCGTCATAGGAAGACGACGTCGCGAGGCCAAACTGTTTCGTCGAGTCCTTCACAAAGTTATCGTAGCCGATGCTGCTGAGATCGGCCGTGCCCGGCGTCTGATACAACTGCCCGGAGCGGAGATAGTCACCCTGGCCGAACGGCTCAAACTCGAGGTCACCCGAGATGAAGTTGTCCTCCACCTCTGACACCTCGCCCGATGTCGACGTCGTGCCGCCGAGTGTCGGGGCCTGCTCCGACCCAGTGCCCCAGTCGTACATGCCGCTGAAGCTCTGGCTGCAGGCCTGGCCGTAGCTCGAGGGCGCAAAGTTGTCGCCCTTGTCTGACAGCTCAATATGGCTCCAGTCCACGGAGGCGGCCGTGCTGAGGCCGGCACTGAAAATGGGACCGTCGTGCTCGGAGAAGGCCGAGCCGCCGAACATGTCGAATGTGCTGTTGGGAACGTATGGTGGGTACTCGATGCCAGAGAGATCAAGTGGTGGCAATTGCCCGTTGAGATGGTGCAGACCCGAAGCTCCGTTGAGGAGGGGCGACGCAGCCTCCGACTTGACGCGGCGCTGGTGATGGGTCGAGATGGCGCGCGCACGACCAAGGGGCTCCTTACCATCGGGCAGACCGTCGGGCGAGTGGCTCCCGAGGCTGCCAGCGCTGTGCATCGAGTTGACGCGGCTGAGCTGGTAGGGGCCGCACTTGGAGGCGATCCGGTTGTGCTTGGGCACGATGCGGTTGCCGTTCTGGTCGAACGCCATGGCACCGTCCGAGTGCACCGTATTGGCACGACGGCGTCGAACGGGGGGTCTCGGCCGCGGCGCGGGAACCTCCTGGTCGAGGCCCTTGGCCGGATCACCTTCCGGGACAGTATCCAGGCCGGACTCCTTTTTGTGACTGCACGTGCATCGGCCACCATGGTTGCAGCAACATGTTTCTGCAGGCGAGTGGTGGTCAGCACAATGGGCCAAGACTCGACATGTGCGCTCATTCGGCGGGCTTGCGTTCTGTTGAGATGCTTACCTCGATGACCTTCGAGCGCAGGCTGCAAATGAGCACACTTGCTCGTCTTCTCGCCGCAGTCGCATTTGACGTGGGCCGCCCGAGACTTGCGCATGGAGCGACAATGCTGGCATTGCGACACGGGCCGGCCCTTCTTGTTGATGTGCTGCAGGGGGCGATCTAGAAACGAGGTGGACGGTTAGCTGCAGGTGTTCTTCAAGATGCTGCCAGATGCTCGGCCCCCAACGGCTCGCCAGCATGCCATGCGAAGGCCCCTCCCTCGGAGACTCCTCGGCCACCACCCTCAGCACACATGTCGCCTCTTGGTCTCTCCTCTTGGTCTCTCCTTTGGGGGGGCTCGCTGAGCGCTGGCGGCGGCGGCTGCAGTAAAATAGATGGGCAGGTGCTCGTTTTCCAGTACTCACCAGAGTGTTGGCAGTTGCTGACGCGATGGCCTCGAACGCAGGCCTCGCAGGCAAACTTCTCGCCGTCGATGAGCATGGTCGATATCTGCGACGTTACACGAGCCTTGTCTTGCAAGTGTAGGTTGTGGCCGGCAAATCGACGTTTCGAATACTCGACAACGCTTGGGTGGTGCGCCCGGGAGGAGGGAAGAAGGGTAGGCGGGTTGCGGGTTGTAGAAAATGGACGGGCAATGCCTAGTCCGGTTGCTTTACGTTTTTGTTGGAGAAACGCCACGCGGGTCGAAGTTGGTCGGGGCCAGTGTCAGTGCCAGTGTCAGTGTCAGTGAGGCAAGCGACGAAACCGAACCTGTCGCTGCTGGGTCGGAATGCCGGGGGTCCGGGGTTGCGACACAAGACAGGACGGACAGCGGAAGTCGAGGAGTCGCGAGTGGTGATCGGGTTTTTTGGTGTTATGAAGTGTGCATGTTGGTGAGGATGTGGTTGAAGGAGGAAAAGGCAAGATTTCCAACAGACAACGGGACGGGGGAATCGCAAAGCAAGGCAGCGCTTCCGCCAGGGGGGGGGGGGTTCGGTCGCGTTTGGGAAGAGGATTTTTGGGGGGTGGTGGGAGGAGGGGTGTGGAGGGGTGGTGGAAAGGTGGGTTTTTCCTTGGGATGAGGTGGATGGGGGGACTTGGACTGGTTTGGCTTGGACTGGTGTGTGTGTGTGGCCTGCTGGGTCTGGTTTGGGCTTGGGCCAAGGGTCACAGTGAGCCTGGCCGGTGAGGAAAAACCAAAAAGTAGGGTACCTTGGGTATGTGTATGTATGAGCACACTCAAGAGGTACAAGCAGAACGTGCGTACTAAGGATGCCGCTTGTCGTTACAGAGATAGCCCTGACGGGAATGGTCTGGAGTACCTTGCCTTGGGTACTGGGGGCTGGCTGGCGCGCGTTGATGTTGCTTGCCGACTCGAAACGCGAAGCGAATGAGCGAGCGAGTGAGAGAGGAGGGAGGGGAGGGGGCCACACGGGCGACGAGGAGAGGGACGAGGGTCTCCGGTAAAAGTCTACAGTTCTCCGCAAGCGCAGTGGGCAGGCGTGGGCCGTGGCCGGCGGTGCTTTGAGCAGCAGGCCCGATTTCTTGTGTGGTGATTTGATGAGGAGTGGGGATGAATTCCTGCGACGAACGGGGTCGGCGATGGGATAGCCGGGTTTGGCGACGGGGGGACCCAGTACTGTGGGCTTGGTTTCGTTCGTCCTTTCGTTCGTTCGTTCGTCCGTCCGTCCTTGCTCTCTCTCCCCCCCGGTTGACTTAGCTGGCGGCTGCGTCGGTGATGGCAGCTTTGCGCTGTCACTGTTGGCTGACCCCGGGTCAGCATAGGAAGAAGACGGCGGGAAAAAGACGACGGCGAGGGACAAGACGGGACGACAAGCCTCCAAAGTAGGCAAGTACGTAAACGAGCATAGGTAAGGTACCGAAAAGCACTCTGGGTCAGCTCGGCTGGCCTGTCTTCTGTAGGCAGGTACGTAGCAAAAGCAGGCAGGCAGGCAGGCGCACAGCGCGACGTGACAACAAGTGCTACGCCCAGCTGTCTAGAGCTGCTCCAGGATGGTCATGGCCAGTCTTGGCAGGGTAGGGGACTGCCAGGCAAGGTAGCCACACGGATCTGGAACTTGGGAAAATACATGTACACACGCCGGTGCCTCAGGGTTGCATGCAAGTGCTTTGTATCGATCGTGGAGACCTGCCCATGTCCCTGGCTCGTCTAACCCGACAACGCCAGTCGGGTTAGGTCAGATGTACGTCGTAATATTAGCAAAGAAACTGTCTTGATTCCGGGGATTGGCAATGGCTATGGAGTAAAAATGGCGGGCGGTTATCCGCCGCTGCCAGATGAACAGGGGTTCCTCAGGGTGCCAGGACTGTGTAGGTTGCCGCCATTGGGGGGGAGGCGGAGGGAGAGAGAGGGAGGGGGGGGGGGGCTGGATGCCAAGGAGCCTTGGTTCATGAGGAAGAATCGCTGACGGTTGGCGCGGATGGCTTGCGATCGCCCTGCTGCTTTTCCGCTGCTCGTTATTCGTTCACATTCAACATCAGCCGCCTGACGAGGCGCTGGGGCTCGGTTCACGGGATGTTCGTGTGTCTGGACACCCTGGTTTTCTTGACTTGTCGTGTCCACCGGAAACGCGGGCAGATGGGGGAATTGTATCACAGGCAGGCAGCTGGATGGGGAAACAGGAGCAGGTCCGTCAGGCCGGGGGAGGGGGGTTTAACGTAGGGAATATGATACACCCACAGGTCAGCAGGACGTGGGATGGATGATTGATGCTCCAAGTCCGCCGAAGCATGTGCTGAGCTCGTAGCACCAGTCACACCAACAGCAAAGTCATAAACCGTGGGTGCAGGGTGAACGAAAGTGCTTCCCGACCTGCCATGTCTCTCTTGTTCGTGATGCCAGCCATGTCAGCCAGCCCACGCTACCCTACGAAGGTGGCGCCAGACGTGGGAGGTTCCAGATATGCCCAGCTTTCTGCCCACTTGCCCACCTCCCAACACGAATGAGCATGGGCAATCTGGAGGGGCGGAGGCGAGGGGCGGAGTGGGAGTATGGGTGGGGGTCGCGCTCTCCCTCTCTCTCTCTGTCTCTCTCTCTCTCTCTCGCACGCAACCGCCTGGCCGACGCGGCCCCCGTTCTGTTTTCCAGTATAGTAGGTAGGTGCGTAAATCGATGGGTGCGGTGCAGGTGTGGATCTGGGCGTGGTTGGCTGTACATGTAGCTTCTGCCTTTCAGCCTTTCCTACGGCGCCCATCAATCATTTCAGTAACTTATTCGCTTGTCGCTTCTGGCATCCATCCCACTGCCCTCACACCCCACTCTTTTCCTTTGGCGGCGCTGGCCGACGGGCCTCTTCTCCTCAGGTGCTTTTTGTTTTGTGTTCAGCCTGCCTGACTACGTCGCTCGTCAGCTGTGGTGTGGAGGGGGGTCTTGCGAGGTGGCCTAGGGGTCAGGTGTCAGACGTTGTTCGTCTGGGTGACTCGGCGACCAGCAGCCTGGCAGTGTGTTGAGTGAGGTGACCGTTCAGCGAGGCAGGCAGAAGGTGTCTGCACTGTCGCCGCCCTGTGACGTTGCCGCCACACGGTGTCAATGTGTACTCTGATCAGCCCCTAGGCAAGCAGTTCGTATGGTACGTAGGCACTGGGCTGGGGGTTCCTGGAGCGGCGGGATGGAGATGCGAGTGCCAGCAATGCCCACCCCCCACAGGAAGCAGGAAGGACGCGAGTGCGACGTGCGGCTGCCAGATTGCCAGGGACACAATTACAATGAACAACACGCAGACATCCCGTTCTTCCTCTCCATCGGCGCGCTTTGGCGTGGCTTGCACGATCCGTCGATGGCCAAACATGCCGACGGGACAGGGATGGTAGCAGTTCTTTCGTTGAGACCGCCTTTTCGGTTGCCCTCCCTTCGAGTCACGATGCTCGAGTTGGGTCATTCCCAGAAGAGAATAGGGTTGGTCGTCATTTGCCGCCGGTGGAGGCAGCTTCATCTTGATGTCGCGCTGTCATCATCGCTTGTGTCGCTTCTTCCACACCGTACTGGGACCGAGGAGGGGGGGTCCCCGAATCGTCGCGGCGGATCGAGAAGAGTAGATTGATTGGGGGGCCGAAAGCCGAGGGCATTGAGGAAGGGGTATCCTCCGGTGAAAACCGGGTCCCTCGTCCGCGCCGTCCAGGGGGGGGAGAACTGGGCTGTACGTCCAGCACACACGTACGGCGAAGAAAGGAACTGTCGTGAGTAATGACCAGGCGAGCCGCCCCTCGGACGTGACGCTATGCGGCGACAGCGGGTGCTACAGGTGGCCACGCGCGCGAAATGAAGCCGAGTGCAAATGCTGGCTGGCCACTGCGCCGGGCCTCATCTTGGTGTTCAATTCCTTGGCAATGGAGTCTGCCATTTCGAGCTTTGACCCCATTGAGAAATGATCCGAGAAATGCAGCGACCAACCGTCGATCGTCGGCAGAAAGTCGGGCCTCATGCCGGGCCTTATGCCGGGCTTTTTCTGCCTGGTCGCCCACCAGTCCTCCACATTGACGGCGAGTGAGAGGAGGCCCTGGGTTGTGCCATCACAGCCCTTGGTGGGGTCAAATCGAGAGCTGTCACCACCAGCTTCGTCGGTACAGGTATTTCGATTCCTCACAGCCACACTACCGATGCCCTGACCCATCTCTTCATGACGGACACGGGCTTGTGCATTGGCGGTGCAGAAGAATGCAGGTGCAGACACGACACACGCAGTTGCCGGTGCCGGTGCCGGAATGGAACCAGAAGCCTCAAAATTACACACTTGAACTGTATCCAGCACCTCATCAGGCTATTGATGGTTTGCATATTACAAGCGTGCATCTCGTCTGAGTGGAGGTGCACGGGCAAGCAGGGTAAGGGGCGGGGCGGGGGGTCGCCAGCGGTGGTCGCCAGCAAGTCAGGTACAAGACTTCTGGAAGCCTGGTGTCATCAACCAATCGGTGTTTCTCTGAGCCCACTAGTCACACGTCCCGACTTTCGCTTTGGGACGTGAAGCACAGACCTCGCCCTCTCGTCACCGACCTGTATTTTCCAAGCTCTCCTAGAAGCAAGAAAAATTTTCCTCTGTCAACGCCGACGAGATATTTCAGAGCTACAACACTGCAACCATCTCATAAAACCAACGGACTGAAGCCACACTCGCTCGACTTGCCTTGTTGAGCCATCTACTCTTCTTCTTCGACTCAGTATGCAACACCACGACCAGAAATATGGAGTGGGCGCACCAGGACATCCCTCGTGATGCTGCTTGCTGCTTCCTTCCTCCTCCAGTCAGGCTTGTTGCTGCTGCTGATGCTGCTGTATCGAAAAGCCCTCTCTGCCTGCCCGTCTGGCCAGACAGGCACAGCAGACAGGAAAGGACAGGATGGTCTGCAACCCAACAATACGCTCTCCGGCAACACCGGCGCCCGTTCGGCCTTGCCCTTAAGTGGCTGCAGGTTCTTGCTTCAGCTCTTCTAGGGAGCGCCCGAGAAGACGAAGTTTTCCCCCCACGTTCCTCAGACACTAACCAAGCTCACCGAGCGTCCAACGGATTCCCCGCACCCGCTCTCTCGTTCACAGGATCAGGACTGGTCAATCATCTGCTAGCCTGCCCGCCAGCATCTCCTAGTCCTATCACGGCTCCACGTTGCTGTCCATCCACACAGCCATGCTTCACTTTTCGTCAACAAAGTGACGAGCCATAACTGACAGCCACCCCCCTCCCCCCATTCATTCCACCAATTTTGACCACACTACAACATCTGATCGGCACCTCCCAATGCCGCCCGTCCGAGTTTGCACTCATCGCTTCTTGCGCTGGTTGAGTTGTCACCGCGCTGGCGCTTGCGCTTTTGTTCACAGCGCCTTGATCACAAGCCTGATGGGCGCCGAGCTGGTGCCATCTGATCTGCGGCGACTTGCGGGCCGCGGTCGGATCTGCGGCGACGGTTCAAGCGTGCGGTGGTCGATTTGGATCCATATTCATTCTACGTGAATTGCTTAGTTTAGAGATTTGCCAGTATTTTTACGCTCTGCGTAAACAAACGAAAATCCTCAGCTCTTCCAGTTGCTGATGCGATTTATACAATCTGGCATAGAGCGAATCACCCGTTGCTGGGCACCTGGCTTTGAGAGATCGTCTTGGTCTTGAAGATAGGTTGGGAATCAGCTGAGGTAACACTCCATACAGAGAGGAGCGTGCGATTTGTCTACCGAGTGACTGCACGTAGATGAGCTGCATCCCGTGAATCGCGGCGAATGCTGGGGGAATTACCCCTCCTCCCCTGCCTGGGGTGGGACGCCCTGCATTTGACACTCCACGAATCGTGACAGCATGGCATGGCATTGGGGTGACACTAGAAGTCCCAACGTAAACGTTCCATAGTGTTACAGCATTATTACTTTTGTACACCCGTCATACTGATACAGCGATTGCGGCATGCCCGCTGCAGGCCTCAAGCCCAAGGCCCAGTTGCAACAACACCCCTGTCCCCCTCATCATCTCCCCCCGCGTCTTCTGCGTCAACCAAACTTGACTCGCTCGAGGAACACCCAGGCGCACGCGCACGCTTTGGCTGTTTGCGGGCTCCAGCTACATTACACACAGCGCCAGCAAGTCATCCTACGCCTGCACATTGCTCGCCCAGATGGTCCAGACGCTTTTGAGATAGCCCGCTGTCAGGCAATATCTAGGGTCGAAGTTCGTGTCCTCGTGCGCCGCCGGCAGGCGATACGTCGGCAGTCCGTCTTCGCCAACCTCTTCGGCGGCGGCGGCGCCGCCGCCGCTGCTCTCAATCTTCGCTTTCAGCTCTGGCGCCTGCTCCGACGCCTGCTCTTGCTCCTGCTCCTTCTCTGCCGCAGAAGACGCGGCAATATCGGCTAGTTGCTGCAGCAAGCCTTGGCTCTTGGCCATGGAGCGTAGATGATCAGCAATTTTATCGCTGACTATGATGTCCCATGCTGCCGGCGAGGTGAGTAGAGACCGCAGCTCCTTGAGCAGCTTGAACGCCTCTTCCTTGATCTCCTCGACCTTGGTCAACTCGATGAGTGCCATTGCGGGGAGCGCCGTGAAGTGATGGCTCATTGGGCTCGACACGTGGGGCGTGACGGCCACGAGGCTGACTAGCTCCTTGCAAGGCCAGAGGAGATCCGTCGCCTTGGACGCTGGGTGACACATGTACGCCAGTAGACGCGAATGCCAGTACGCTAAGTGGACGACAGGGAAGACGGCTGGCTCGATGTGTGGGGGCAGATCTTCACGAAAGTTTTCAACGTAATCGTTGAGCACCCCGCCGAGGACTTCGTCTGCGAACGTAACTGATCCCAACGTTGCGCGAGCGCCGGAAATGATATTGCAGGCTTGGTTGAGGATTTTGGATGCGCCTGATTAGGGTTCTGTCAGTTACATATCATACACAAGGGTGGAGAGAGACTCACGAATGAGTTGCCACGTCGTCTCGCCCACGACCTTTGCAACATCTGGGCTGACGACCGTTGACTCGGTCCGGGTCATCGGGAGCGTACCGGACCCTACTGCGTTCCACCTGTCAAGGAGCACGAGAGACCACCACAGCCGCACACGGAGATGCGTATCAGAATCGACATCGACGTCTCCGTTGAGCTCAAGCGAAGACCCGGCCTGAGCACTATAGAGCTTCATGGTCCATGCAGTTGACACGGCCCGGCCGAGCAAGGATTCCTTAATATGTCCGGCGCAGCTGGAAGGGCGGTTGCTTGCCTCAATGAAGAGCAGGAGAAGCGTCTGCAGGTGGATGAAGTGCGCAGCTGACGTCCGCGGCTCTTCCCCGTTCATTTCCCACTCAACCAGCATCTTCATTGCGAGACTGGCGTCGCCCATACCCATCGTGGTGAACGATGGGAAGGACTGCATGGTACCGTGGAGAGCTTCAAGGAAAGCCTCTCGTAGCATGCCAGGGCATTGAGCAAGATAAACCTGCAGGCGAGTCTTGCTGGCAGGCAGGATAGGTAGGTAGGGGTGCACCATTGTCAAGTAGCTGATGAAGGTTAGCAATGGCTTCGATGAGATCTAGTCGGCAAGCCTCACCCTTGAAAGTTGGCATCGTCGACCTCGCGCGGCTGAGTGATATCAGCTATGTCGCCAACTGAGCTATCCGGGCCTACAAGCGGAGCCCTAGATGGCGTGTCTGGCCTTAACGATAGTGGCTGCGGGGCCAGGCCATGCGCCGAGTACGGCGCATTGTGTCTCTCAGGTGTTGCCGAAGCTTGAGGTAGCTGTTGCGTTTGAGGCTGGCTGCGTACTTCTGAGCTCCACGTCGACGGCGGTTGGCGGGGGGCGGTTGGCGTCGTAATATCAGCACTAGAGATGCTCGAGAACGTGCGTTTGCGACTGGCTTCTTCGCCAGTGTTCTCGCATAGTCTACCTTCGATACTGTGAATGCGATCGGCCAGCTCCTTTATGTACCTGTTGGTTTGACGTCAGCATGCACACGTTGCGAAGAATGAAACGCTCCAGCGGTTTCGTCACTGGTGCTTACCCTTTGCTCGGTCCTCGTTTCTGGGGAATTCGACTAAAGGAACAGCGCTGAGCCGACCGTCTACAATTTGAGCATGGGTTGTCGCCTAAATCTGACTGCGCATCGCATTTGACCTTTTTCCTACGACACTCGTCGCAAGCGCGCGAAACCTTGGAGCGCTTCCTTGGAGGAGTGCTGTCGTCTTGGTTATTCTGCGGATATGGCTGAGGATGGTGATGGTTGATGGGCACTTGGCCAGAATTCTGCATGGGCGTTTGGTTCGGTGTCTGCATTGGTGTCTGCATCGGTGTCTGCGTAGGGTTCTGCTGTTGTATCGGAGCTTGCATGGAATTTTGTTGAATAGGATTAGGCTGCATCGGCGCCTGCTGCATCGTATTTTGCATTTGCGCCTGCGGCATGGGGGTCTGCTGTATCGAGGCCTGGGGCATTGCTGCCTGCAGCGAGGGCTGCGGTGCAGACTGTAAAGGAGCTGCAGACAGCGATACGGAATCAGGTTCCTCTGATGTGAATGCATGGGATTGCGAGTCTTCGGGTTCAGTCAAATCGTTGCGCATGTCGGTGTCTTCGGCTTGTGGCAAGATGCCTCGAAGATTGGGGTCGTCAAACTTCATGTTGGGGTCCGTCACAGGCAACAGGGGCTCCGAGGCAAGATCCTGGCCAAGCTGGGCTGCGAGTTGAAGCTCCTCTACACTGGCGGCATGTGAGGCATGGTGTTGCGGCCCCGAAGGCTCGTGGTGTTGGAGCTCTCGCGCGTTGGCATCGCTGTCGTGAGGATGGGGAGTGTGGTCGTCATGTGTGCCATCGTACAGGCTTTCGTCAATGACATCGTGCGTCACCTCGTGGCTGACATCGTGCACATCGTGAGCGACGTTTTCAGCGCCGTCGTGGTCGAAATGGGACGTCGTCTCTTGGTTGTTGGCTGTAGGGGATGGGTATGTCTGAATTCTGTCGTCGCCGCCCACTTCTTCCCCCTGCGCCACGTCCATGTCAGGAGCTTTCGGATTCAGCCAGTCGGGGAGTGCACAGCGATATAACTATTCGCTATACTGATGTCTTCGTTAGCATGTGGAATCATGTCAAGTCGTGTGCCGACAGCATGGCGAAGCGGCACGCCCCAGTCGACCAAAGGCTTGATCTCGCTGTCAAGCGCAGTCCTAAAGCGGGCGGGGTATTATAGTAGCACATGCGCGGATGTATGAAGCAAGGCTGAAAAAGACCTCCAACTCGGTTTCATTGATTGCTACGGCCAGGTTTCTCGTTTCCTTGACGCGTCAATGCCAGAAGGTGCTAACTTGAGGAACTGGCGCGCTGCCCGGGTGCTGTCACAACTCTGACTTCGACACGCGATGTGTGGCCAAGAGAAAAAAAAAATGCAACACGCCGGCGACGCAGGCCCAGCAGCACAGAGTGTTTGATTCACAGTGCAGCTTGTTTGCGCGCCGAGGGTCGCGACAGGAATGAAGCAAGCAAATTGTCCACAAGGACCGGACTGACCTGGAGGTGATGCGACAAGCGCGCTGCGCGATGGGTGACGGAATAATATCGAATCGATGAACGGAATAGGAAGAACCAGATGCCGACCGGAGGTTGCGACGGTACGTCTGGCGGGCGTGGAGTTTTCAGTCGAGGATAAATGGTCGGCCCACTGCAGACCCCGGGTCGGTCGCTTGTCACGTGGTGATTGTTGAGATTATGTAATCTGTCATGTTTCTCAGCTCAGAAAGGATATCAGGTACAAGTGGTGTATACTACATGCCCTACACATGATCATACATCTGCTGGCTACCTGCCTGCCTACCTGAGTTATGTGATGCATTTCGATCACGCAAAATCTGATGCGGCTGCTGGCAGACAGTCGATGTGACTTCCCTTGTCCTGGAATTCAAGGCGGATTCCGCTTGTGAAAGCCTGATGGTTCTCGGAGTTGGCGAGTTAGATTAGGATAATTAGTTTTATGTATTGGACACAACTCTGAGTTCAATTTGTTTTTGGTTCAAGTTTCCGAGTCGGCGTTCCTTGCCGGCGTCCCATGGTCTTAACGGAGGTGTCGCTGGGTCGGGGTCACGATAATCTGTCTTGATCAGGTAAACCTCCAGGGATTGAAGAGATGCCCTCGACACCTTTGAGTCTCTTCGTCCCAGGCGCCGAGAATTCCATACGCTCAACGAGACTTATTGCCTTTTTGGTTTTGCACGGAAATTCCCGGGTCCGAAGCAACCAGACATAGGATTCGAAATTGTTTTTCTGATCAACATTGTGCAAGTCTTATACGAACACACAAGAAGGGGCCAGACTATTCGGCCTTGAGAGACACGAGACCAAAAGACCCAGCAGCTGCATAGTGGTGATATTACGACTTCAACGTTGCCGCCATACAAAGTTCTATAGGCACCGCTACTCCCCCTGAGGTAAAGTCTGCTGATGTATACCGTGACTATCGCTCACCGCGTGGGCCTCCACCACGAGCATATCTGAAAACACACCAAACGACCTCTCCGAAAACGTCCTGTTGGTGTCTGGTAGCGAAATTTCACCAGTTCCTACTCAAAAACCACCAGATCCGGTCAAACTAAGATGCCAAAGCACCATGTGCAAACCATCGAACCATCTCGACCCAAGCAGGAGCCCTAGCCGCGAAGCCTATCACAGGCCACCCCCGAAAGCATCAAGAAAACGACAGCCTACCCCTCGGTCCGAGACCGCGCATTCCAAAACCCCTTTCCATAGCTCACGAGGAGCTCCTGCCCCTTGCCCACGCCGCCCTTCCCCGGCTGCCCCCGCCCCGGCGCCGGCAGGACAAAGACGCCCATGCACCGCTCGCCAAACCGGCGGCTCCAGACCTCCCGAAACTCGGCGTTTGGCCGCGCCGCCACGCCGCGGTAGTCATTGACGAAGCGCGCCTCGTTGCCGCCGCGCGCCGCGTCGACGGCGACGGCCTCGTCACGGTCGAGCCAGAGGTCGTAGTCCGACTCCTCCTCCTCTTCCTGCCCGCCCTCTCCGACAGGCGGCCGTTCACCGTGGACGGTGCCGAGGTAGAGGAGGACAAAGGCGCCGGGCTTGAGGGCGCGCGTCGTGAAGAGGCCGCTCTGTCCGCAGGCCGGGTGCGCGGCCTCAGTGATGGGCGTGATCTTGACGAGGGGGCTGATGGTCGGCGTCTGCGCGGCCGGGATGTCCGGGTCCTCGGGCCGCTGGCGCCGGAGGGCAGCGCGCTGCGAAGGTGTGAGCTGTTTGCTGTACGCCGGACTGGTGATATAGGGGAGGTGGGGTGGCCAGTTCTTGGGCAGCTGCGGTGGCGCCATGGCTGTGGAATGTCCTCTTTGGCGTGGTGACGTTGCTGACTTGATGTCGTACGTTGTTGGTGTTGTGCTATGGCGAGTATCGGCGCATTGTGTGGATGTATGTCATGATCGGACCATGCTGTAGTCGAGGCGGTGCAGTGATGGAGGAGGGCACCTGTAGAAGAGGTTGAGTGGTGATAGTCAGTTCTGTCAGGAACAGAACTCAGAAAACTTCAAAGAAATTGGTCCAATCCGCGTCTGGTTCAGCGTAGCCATGGTCCACACCTCACAATCCAGTTACCCCAACATGCATGGCATCACAAAAACACAGCCAGGGATGAAAGACAAACAGGTCGTTCTACAGCTATCTACTAATATCACACTGGAGGTACTTCTTAAAGCTTTTTGACCATCCAACGCCTCACCCGCTGCCTCGGGTTTCCGAAATGCCACAAATCGCCCCCTGCGCGAGCCCGTCAACCCTCGTCGCACAGTCGAATCCTATTGAAAACCCTCCCCCTATTTCTCGTTCATCTCGCCCCAGCCATGATGCCCTGGTAGTAGGTGCGACCAAGGTGGAGCGAGTGTTGCAGATACGCATCCTCAGTCAAAGGCAGTCCAAGAATTCGGGACACGCCGTTCTGCGAAAACGTTAGCTTCTTCGCCCGTACAAAGCAGTCATGGCTGTGAGCTCTTACCTGATCGTGCTCGGTTGCATCCATCACCACCTTGGCCACGATGCTGCTCATCTCCGAAACCGCTGCCTGGCTGATCATGTCGCCGCTCTCCGCCGTCTCGCGGATCACGGGCAGACCGCAGAGAAGCTTCTCCACCACATCTGAAGGCACACGCTCCCGGCGCTCGAATCGTCGGTGGAGTGTCAGGAATGCCCGGTAGATCTCACCACCGAGACCCCAGCCGGAAACAGACTCTTCATGGCCCTCGAAGAAAGCCAAGAGAGTCGCCAGACCGTCGTAGTCGCGCTCAATAACGGCCGTTGGTGCCACCTTGTCAACCAGAACCCGGTGTGCCGCCTCGTATGACTCGGCCTGGAGGAGACACTTGACTTCGCTGATTGGGTCTGCCTTGACGCTGCGCATGTACAGCGCACGCGCCTCCCAAACCCACGCAGAGGGAATCTTGAGCGTCTGGGTGAGCGTGGTGAAGTCGGCGCTGGTTTCGGACCCAATGGAGCCGGCGTGTCGAGAAAGATGCTCCTGCACCGCCTTGGCCCGTGTCTTGGGGTTGCTGAGATGTAGCAGGACGAAAGTGGCCTCGACCCAGTTACCTTCGTTGACCAGCTGATCCGCAAACGACAGGGTCGCGGCATCGGCCTTCTCAGATGCGTCAACACCGAAAGAAACCTTGCCAGTTGCAGGAAGAGCACGACCAAGCTGCCACGTGAGACGGCTATCTAGAGGCGAAAGCTGTGAGTTCTCTGGTCGAAGAATAGACTCCAAGTCGGTCGCGTCATCGGCATGGAGCTTGAGAAGACCCCAGAGGAGATCCTCACGCTGGTGGCGGTCCTGGTCGTCCCAGAGAGCATCAAAGCCCTGCTCAATGTACCACGGGTGTGGAACATCCTCACGATCCTGAGCGACGTCGTCGACAAACTTCTTGACAGCTGCGGGAACGCTCTGCTCTCGGGCGATGGCGTACCAGAGTCGCAGGCCAAATGACTGCTTCCAGTCCAGGCCGAACCGGCGAGCAATGACGAACGACTCCATCCTGTCCGCGACGGGAACACCCTTCTTCCCCTCGCATACACAGACATTCCCGGAAAGAACCTCGTAAATGGCACGGATGGCGTCCGTGAAATCAGACAAGACATTGTTGTCCTGCCACTCGGCAAGCTGCGTGCGCATATCACGCTTCGACTGGTTGGAGGTGCCAATCAAAGCAACAAGAGTTGCCAGGCGGAAGTCCTTGCCATCAACGAGCAGCTTGCAAGCTTCCTGGACCCGGTGGCCTGCAAGGGAAGTCAGCGCCTTCTCCTCGCTGGACTTGGCCAGTGCGACTGCGCGACTTGTCGCCGCGTCGACCAGGTCGGTCCAGAAGCCAGACAGCTGTCTCTTGCGCAGCTGTTCTTCGGTGGCTGCGGCAGATGGAACCACCCGGTCAAACAAGATGCTCGCGAGATCCCAGACGAGCTTCTCGTGGGCGTTGGCTGGGTTGCTCAGGTCGCTGTGGTGGAAGATGCTCTTCAGGCTGGCCGCATTAAGGGACACTGTAGGGACACCATCGACGAGGGCCACGCTTGTTGCGCGCATCTGGTTCTCAATGGCCTTGGCCGAGGACTGTTCGACGTCAGCAACTTGCTCAGAGCGCCTCGTCATTCAGGGGGGGAAGACGTACCTCGTTGGAGAACTTCATCAGGCAAACGCCCGTCTCCGCACCTTGCGGGACACGAGCGCGTATGGATAGAATGTCGCCTTTAGCCGGCTTCATCGTTTTCGCCAGGGATGAGGGCGCAGCGGGGAAGACAAGCGTGCCGTCGGGTCCCCAGCCAGGCTTCACAGCCTTGTGGTACGCGAGATCGTTTTCACTGAGATCGGATTGATCGCCAAACGTCTTCCTCTGTCGTTCATAGGGCCACTGGTAGGAGAGATACTATCTTAGCAATCATCTTGTCTAATGCACAAAATTTGAATACATGTTGGGCACCTCGAACCCCCGCTCATCGCACATTCACTCAAGGGTCGCGCGGCAAAATGTTACGCAGAAACACAAGTGCTCACCTGAACAAATCCCATGGGCGCCGGGGAGGGCTTGGAAGCAGGAGCCTTTGCCTTCTCAAAGAGGGAGTTCATCAAGTCAATACTGGTGGCGAACCCTCGCCCATCGGAGACGACCCGGCTCGCCGTGCCGGAGCGCTCCGTCTTTTCGCCGCTAAAGCGGTTGCCGTTCTCGGCATCGTTCTTGAGAAGCGCACGATCGCGCTTCTGGGGGCTGACAGATTTCTGAAGCATGTCCATCCACGCGTCTCCATCCGCAACTTGTAGTCGTAGTGGTGTGGCGGATCCCTTGATAGCCCTCATGCGGGCGCGCAGGATGCCACCGGGAGTTTCGATGATCGGCGAGCCAGGATCATCTGACGAGTCGGTTTGTTGCTCCGCGGCGAGATGCTGTTCGAGAGAAGGACCCGTTCCATCTTCATTCTCGTACATGTCATATTCGTCGTCCTGATCAATGGCCATGCCATCCTCGGGCATGAGGATGAGGGCCTTGGACGTTGAACCCGCGGAGCTATGCCCAAAAAAAGGCTGGCTCTGGTTGGTGGTAGAGCGGAGGACGTCATCGTCCTCGTCGTCTTCGAGTTGTCCTTCGCGTTGGTCGAACGCGCCGGGAAGAGCACGCCGTTTCCTCCGAAAGTCAAAGGTGTCGTCCTCACCCGGGCTGACCAGGTCATCGGAGGAGCTGGAGTGCTCGGCGACAGTGGCAACGGCAGGAGCCCGCTGCTGCTGGCTCTGTTCGCCAGACCCGAGGTCAGCGTCCGTCTCGTCTTCATCGTAGTCGAGGCCGTAGGTGGTGAAGTGCTCAACCGAAAACTTCCAGACGCCCGTCTCGCTGTTGTAGTCGACAAAGGTGGTGTCGGGGATCTTCTTGAGACGCTCAATGTGCTTGTTCAGGCGCTTCTGGTCAATAGTTGGCCGCTTGTCGCGGCCGCGTGGCCAGGACTGATCCAGAGAGATGGTGGCGGGAACGTTGAGGCCCTTGCCAACAGGGGGCTTCTTGGCCGCGTTGGGGTAGACCGTAGCCGAACGGGTCTCGAGCACGACGATGCCGCCGAAGATCTCGTCGAGATCGATGCTGGTCAGATCGACAGGAACCTTGAATGACACATAACCAACATTGTCCCTGCCGACCGTGAAGTTGGCCACCTTTTGGCGCTGCATGCGGTTCATCGACGAGATGACATCCTGCTTGGGGCTCATCCAGTACATGCCGGGCACCTTGTCCGAGGCTTCGGTGGCAACCTGGGGCGTCTGCGCGTAGGCATCCTCCTCGTGAACGATGGCCAGCTCCTTGCCCTTCGATGGGTCGACATCGGCAGGGGAGCTCGTGGCCATCGCCTTTGTACCATTGGTGGACCGGGCGTCAAGGTCGTTGCTGATGGCCGGGGCGTTGCGGGGAGTGGCAACATCGTGATCGCCGTCTTCACTGGCATCCATTGTGCTTGTGTCGAAGCTGACGCGCTTCGAGAGCTTGCGGGAGCCATTGATGGTGTCCAGAGCGGGCTTCTCCTTGGTAGGCGTGGCGAAGAGGTCACTGCGCATGTCCTTGTTGATAACAAGTTTGCGAACACTGCCCGTGTTGCCGTAGTATCGGGGACCAGAGCTAGCAGAGAAGGCGCCAGGCGCGAGGATGCTATCTTCGGCCGTGAAGCTCTTGCGCAGGCTGCTCGAAGACACACTCTTGCTCAGTCCGCGACTCAGACTCGAGCCCAGCATGCTGCGGTTCATGCTACCAGGGGTGCTGGTCACGCTCGAGGGGCTGCCACTCGGGCTGCCGTAGGTGCTGTACGAGAAACCAAAGCCCCGTTTCTGAGGGGTAACAAAGCGGGTGGAGGACGCTGGGTTCAGCTTGTACATGGGCAGGATCGAGCTCCGGCGCGTCTTGGTCTTGCTGGAGAGAGGAGTCGCGAGGGGGCCTGGGTTGGCCATCTCGTTGCCGTTGAGGTTGGAGAAGAGGGCGGGCGTGCCATAAGCAGACAGGTCTGAGATGCTTGCCGTCAGGGACTGCTGCGCAGGCGCATTGTTGTTCTGCGAGTTGCCCAAGAGGGAGCCTCCGAGCAGGGAGCCTTGCTGCTGCTGCTGGCCGCTGTTGAAGAGAGAAGACTGCTGCTGGTTGTTCTGCGAGCCGAAAAGGCCCCCGCCAGCAGACTGAGATGTGCCGAACAGGCTGGGCTTCGCCTGGTTTTGCGCACCGCCTCCAAACAAGCCGCCTTGGCCGGTCTGCTGGTTTTGCGTGTTTCCACCAAGTCCGCCGAACAGACCAGTACCTCCAGTTGTCGCTGTGTTCTGGGCCGGCTGTGCTGATCCAAAGAGCCCGGTGCCGCCAGTGGCAGGCTTCTGGGCACCGAAGAGCCCACCACCCCCAGCGCCGGTGTTGGTGGCACCGAAACCGGCGGTCGTGTTTCCGCCGGCATTGCCAAAGAGTCCACCGCCAGTGTTCGTGGCGGCACCGCCGCCAAAGAGGCCGCCTGCAGGCTTCTGCTGGTTAGTGTTGCCGAACAGAGAGCCGCCAGACTGCTGGGTCTGAGCGCCGAAGCCAGTGCCGCCTCCGAAGCCGGTGCTGGCACTTTGTTGCTGCTGGTTGTTGGCTCCACCGCCGAACAGGCCGCCACCCGTAGTGCCAGTGTTGCCTCCGCCAAACAGACCGCCGCCCGTCGTGTTGGCGGGTGGGTTGTTAGAACCAAAGGCCGATCCCGTGTTGCCGGCGCCGAAACCAGTGTTGGTCGGTGCCGTGTTCGTGTTGCCGAAGCTGAAGCCTCCAGGTTTGGCTTGGTTGTTGTTGGCCGTGGAACCGAACAGTCCGCCGCCGCCGGTGGTGGCTGTGTTGGATCCAAAACCGCCGGTCGCCGTGTTCGTGTTGGAGCCGAATCCAGTGCTGGCAGTGCCCGAACCGCCGAAAAGACCACCTGTCGCAGCAGGCTGCGCGGCACCGCCACCAAACAGACCACCAGTCGCAGCAGGCTTGTTCGTCGCTCCGAAGAGACCGCCACCCGTGTTGGTGCTGCCAAAAGTGCCCGTCGAACCGCTACCGAAAGCCGACGTGGTGTTGGCGCCGCCACCTCCGAAAAGGTTGCTGCCGGCCGAGGGTGTAGAGCCAAAGCCGGTCGATTGCTGCTGGGTGGTGTTGTTAGTGGCGCCAAACCCGCCGGTGCCGCCAAAGTTGGAGACACCAAACGCTCCCGTTCCACTGGCGTTACCATAGCGGCGGCCCTGGGCGTAATCCGTGAGCCTCAGTTCTTCAGCCGACCACTTCTTGTAGGGATCCTGAAACAAGATGTTCTGGAACGAGTTGGACTGGTTGCCGGTGCCGGTGGTTTCCTTCTCCTGGTATGCCTGGAAGGGCGTCGTGTTGGTGCCGGGCGGGTCGCTGGCATTACCACCGATGCCTGGGTTGTTGGTCGCGCCGAAACCACCAAAACCTGTCGTGCCGGACGTGTTGCCACCACCACCGAACAGAGAGCCCGTGCCTGTGTTGTTGTTGTTGGTGGTGCCGCCGCCGAACATGCCGCCGCCGGTGGCTCCGAAGCCCGTCGAGGTTCCGGTGTTGGCGGTCGTGTTATTGCTGCCGAACCCGCCGAAGGAGGTTGTGCCGGTTGAAGCGTTGTTGCCGGAGCCGAACAGGCCAGTGCCAGAGCTGGAGGCCGTCGTTCCAAAGGCACCGGCAGGTTTCGCGCCAAAGGCGCTGTTCGTGTTGTTGGCACCGAAACCTGTTTTCGCTTTGTTAGCAAGAGGTGGGAAAGGGGACTTGGAGGGGATCACGTCGCGGAAGACAAAACCTACCGGAAGAGGTGGCGCCAAAGCCTCCACTCGTGTTGCTGTTGTTGCCAAAAAGGCCACCTCCGGTGTTTGTATTGGACCCAAAGGCGGTAGCGGTATTATTGGTCGCTCCGAATCCTGTGAGCATCGAGACGTTAGCATTCCGAACCAGAGGCACGAGGCCAGGGAGACCGCAGGAAGCAGAGCCGCGATAGGACGCACCGGTGTTCGTGTTGTTGTTGGTCGAGCCGAAGCCTCCAAAGGTCGACTGCTGAGTATTGTTGTTGTTGTTGTTCTGACCGAAGCCGCCAAAGCTGCCGCTGCCAAAGCCCGACATGGTGGGCAAGCTCTGTGAGCCGGAGCCTATTTATATTGGGAGGGGGGGCCGGGTAGGGCCAATGTTTGTGCGTTTCGTCCCTCTGCCGCAGGCGCAAGGGCGGAAGATAGATGGGCGAGGGTCGTCACTATGACGAGTTCAGCATGTGCGGTCGATGAGCGACGAGGCTGGCGAGGATGGAGACTCGATGAGGCGAGAAGTCGCCGGAAGAGGTTCGCGATGAATGGTGACGACAGAAAAGGCGCGGACGCAAGAAGTGTCGACTGAGGTTTCAGGACAGGCGCGAAAGGTGAGACGACGCGGAGAGCGAACTCGGTCGAATTGGGGCCCTTGCTCTGTGGCGAGAGACAAAGGAAGAAGTGGGAGACTGGGGATCGAAAGCTGGTCAGGGATGCGCCGATGAAGATTTGGGACGCGACGTGGTGGAAGGGAATGCAGGCTCGTTTTCGAAAGTGTTTTGTCTCGTCGGCAGAGATAGAGAGAGAGAGAGAGGGAAAAAAACAAGGTCGACTCACAGGAGGGAAGGGGAGGGGCTATTAGAACCAGACGGTACGTGCGACAAAAGGAAGAGATGGACCTGGTTGCATCTCTCGCCTCGACGTCGACTCCCTGGGTTTTTGTGGTGGATGGGGAGAGAGAGGGAGCTGCCAGGCTGGTGGTGGTTGGAGAGGTGCAGAGGTAGCAGCAGACCAGGTTCGCGACTTTCGTGATTAGGTAGGCTCGGAAGGTGCCTTGGGACGCTTTCCTCTTGCTCTTACTCGTCGTGCTGCGCAAGTGGCCAATCGCATGGCTCCAAACTGGTTGTAGCTTTCAGAGCTTTGCTGCCTGAGGACGGCGCCACAGGGCCTCTGGTCAGTGGGCCAATTGCAGAGCTCGATCCCCCGAGGCAGTCGTCTCCAGGGAAGGCCCTTTCCTTCAGAGCAGCCTGAACAATGGTCACGAGATTTATGAGTAGCGAATCAAGACTACCTACCATAGGTACCAGACACCTAACATGCGGCACCTAGATATACAGATGATCCAGCCTGCTGTATGCCTTGCGCTCCCATGCTTGGATGACTATTGTCATTATTGCGATGCTGCTTCGGTTTACTCAGGTCATGGCTCGAGTGGATAGGTACCCAGGTAGTCATCAGAGTGGACCTTACATGACACAGCAGCAGCATTCGTTCCCTCCCTCTCTCCCTCCCTGTCTCTCTCTGTGCCTCGTGCTTGCTATTGGTCCAAGTCTTCTCATTCGGCCATCAGCAAGACAATCGTCATGTTCCTGCAGCTGGCCACGCTCCATGCGTCACACAAATACATACGCACACACAAGAAGCAAGCAATCCACTGACCCGTTCCTACATTCATCTCAATCAGTCTATGGCCGCCACTCCGACAATTGTCTCGGACCCCTCCCCCTCTGTCTCTGGTGAACAGCTTTCAAGCCTGCCTTCCTGTCGTCCTGCTTCAGCAACCCTCGGCTCAACTCCCGAGCTGCTGCTGCCAGAACAGACAGTGCGCAGGAAAATAACAAGATGCAAGACCCCGATGAACGAAGGGTGGTGATCAGAAAAGTATTTGAACATGAAAACGCCTGTTACCGGCGTTGTCTGCTCGAGAACCGGTGTAGGAAATCAAGTGTGCAGGGTCTTGGAGCCCCCTCCCTCTCCCTCTCTTCCCCAATTGCCTGCCTTCTCTTCCTCTTGCCCCGCCTAGAACTGAATAAGATCCTGGTTCTGGTTGGGTCTTTGCTGTGGCTGCGTTCCGGCAAAGGGGTTGTTGTTTCCCTGCCCACCCAGGCCGGGAGCGCCCGTTTGCGAGACCTGCAGCTGGCTGCCTCCGTATGTCGTGTTCGGCATACCCGTGAACTGGGTCCGCAGGAACGGGTTGCTGCCCGTGGCGTCCGCCGTCAGACGCTGCGCCCCCGAACCGGCACTGTTGACAAAAGTGCCTGGCGCCGTGTGCTGGGCCGGGATACGCAGCTGGCCCGTGTTGCCGTACGTGTCCATGCCGTCGCCGCTCGCAAGGAGCGCGTTGAGTTTTGCCTCGTGCTCGTTGAGCTCCTTCTGCGGCGTGCCAAAGGCGCTTGCTGGCTGACTGAAGCTGGTGCTCGGCTGGTTGTTGAAGGTTGACAGCGTCTTCTGCTCCGGCAAGCTTCCGAGTGCCGGCATGGAAGGGATCTTCTGAGTCTGCGGTCGGCCGAATGCCGACGATCCGCCCGTGGCCGCTGGCGCAAAGGGGTTGTTCGAGCCCGTCTGCATCGCGCGCAAGGGCGACTGTGACTGCTGGTTGTTGTTCGTCGCCCAGGGGTTGTTGCTACCAGCTTGAGGGAACGGGTCTTGCGCCGCAGGCGACTGTGTCTGCTGCTGCTGCTGCTGTTGCTGGTAAGGGTTAAATCCTGTAGGCTGAGGCTGGAATGCTGGCATGCCGGTAGGCTGCTGCTGCTGCTGCTGCTGCTGGCCGAACGGATCCAACGACGTCATCTGGGGCTGCATGCCATATCCACCATAGCCGTTTTGGAAGCCCGTCTGCTGCGGCTGCTGTTGCGGAAAGCCGGTATACTGGTTGCCGAGATAGCCGGTGGGCTGCGGCTGCTGCGCGTTCTGGTCAATGGGGTTGGCGAAGAAATCGACTGCGCTGCCCTGCTGATAGCCCTGGTTGAAGCCGGTGAACTGTGGTTGGGCGGGCTGTGACTGCTGAGTGCTCTGCGTGGGTGTGTCGTCAAAGAGGGATATCGCGTTGCTCTGCTCGAGCTCCCGTCGTCTCCGCTCCTCCTCCTCCTGACTGAGCTTGATGGCCTTGGCCAGATCATCGTCGTCGACGTCGACTTGGCCCTGGTTACGCCTCTTGCGGTCCTCTTCCTCCTGGTACTTGCTGGCCTCAATAGCGAGCCTGTACTCGGCGTCGTCCTCGTCGTCGCGGCGCGCTCGGGGCTCTCTTCCTCCCCGGTGCGAGGGTCCAGCTTGCTGAGGCGCGTATTCTTCGAGGCCAGTCACGCGGGACTTCCACGACTTTCGGTCGCTGCGCTCGGCGCGCAGTCTCTCTTCGTCAAGGACGAGCGATGTAAGCTCCTTCGCGGCGACGCGTACTAGCCGGACTGTTAGCCAATGTGACCCAATGTGAGCATAAGGGGATGCGCCGGGGCGCCAGGAATTCCCATGTGTACCATTTTGACCCACGTCCCTGCCGTCATCGTCGATATACTGGAATTCGCGCAGCGTCTTGATGATGTAGATACTCTCGCGGGCCCACGTCACGACCAGTTCGGAGCCCTCGTGCAAGCAGTAATCGAGGACCTTGAGGGCCTTGAGCACGTGCCTCCAGTTCTTGCCCTTGTCGTTCATGCGCTTGTCGAGCATGTCCATGATCTCGTAGAACTCATTGGATCTGTGTTGTATGGTCAGCCAGGTACCCTAGCGGTCGCGCATGCGCTGCAGCGCTTGCCACACGTACGATGCAAAGGTCAGCTGGGCAATCTCGCTCATCTGCGTCCCCGTGGGACCCCATGGGTCATTGCTTGTTGCTGGGAGCGGTGACCGTTAGTACGAGCATGGCGCGACGGCGGCGACAGAGGATGAGGCACAAACCTTCTCGAACCTTCACCTGGGCGCTGGAGTACCCCTTGGTGACGTTCTTGACGCTTCGGATGACCTTGGACATGCTGGGCGACTGGCGCGATGCTGTAGCAGGCTGCTACGTTTGGACCGGTCTCCGGATGTTGTGGGCTGTCGCAACGAGGAACAGCGGAGGTGAGGAGGTGGAGCAGAAGGGGAGAGGGGGAGAGAGCCAAGCTCCGTTCGGGGGCGACGGACGACGAGCTCGTGGAAGCAACGGCGGCTGCCTGACCAGACAGCAGGAGGACGGGAACGGAATGCAAGCGGCGGCGAGGTGCTGTAGATAGACGCGACAAGATAGGTTGCGCGGTAGAAATCGGCGGCGTTGGGTTAGGATATGAGTTGGGTTGGGTTTGTCGGAGATGAGGGTGCGGGCGGGTGTGCCGAGATGATATGGTGCGGTGAATAAGGTACCTCAATGTACGATTAGCTCTCGAACCGGGCGAAGGCGGCGGCGGCGGCGGCGGCAGCAGGCGGGGCGGTGATACCTAGGCAATGCGATGGAAATCGAGGTTGGCGCCGAAGGCACAAACAGACGAAGAGGTTGCAGGTTGATGCGGCAGAGGCCACGCGGTTAGACGATCAGGTGTCGGAACCGTCACAGTGGGCGGCGAAGGGTACGTAATGTGGATGAGCGGGAGCAGATGAGTCGTCGTCCACCAGCAGCAGCAGCAACCAAGGTTTGTAGGTGGTCGAGGCGGGGGCAAGCACGACGGTAAAGGTGGGTTGGGTCTGTGACTGTGAGGCTGTGCCTGTTGCCGGGATGGGCCTGGACTGGGCGCGAGATGACCTAGACAACCCCCTTTGGACAGACGGATGGGATGCTGCTGGTCTCGGGTGGGATGGTTCAGGATGATTCTTTTTGGAGGAAAGTAGGAAAAAAAAATAAAAAAATCGACGCAGTTTCGGGGCAATAGGAAAGGAAGTACCTCGAGAGGTGACGGCGGATGGTGATTGCACTGGCGTGCGCTGATTCAAGGCCTTGAGGTACCTCTACTTGGGTACCTTCGGTAGGTAGGTGCCTTACCTTGCCTAGGCAGGTACCTAGCACCTAGGTAGGTTAGTACCTGGCAGGTAGGCACCTAGCTTGCTGTTCTGGGTGCGTTACGTAGTGCCTCATGCCCATGCCGCCTTCGTCCCCCACAACACGTCGTCCCAGCCTTCCTGCTTCTCTGCATGTGTGGCCAAGCTTGGATCTGCGTTCCCCACAACCTTACCTCAGCATCTGGCCTCGCCTGTTGTACTGAATATGGAGGCATCTGAACCTCGAAGGAAGGTGTCCCTGCATATCCACAACTCATGACCACGCCAGCAGTACGTCGATGATCCGAATATGAATTGTACAAGGCGTAGAAAAGTCTATATGCAACGACCTCAAGGTCTCTCATTCGTGGTATCTTCGACTCCCATATCCCATATGAAAAACAAAATGAAAAAAGATCCTAGTTGGCAAGAAAACAGCAAATGGAACCCCCCCACCACAATACTCCCATAGCTAGACGCCTTGTCTACCGCCTCGGCCAACAGCACAACACCCGCAACCAGTACTTCCAGTCCTTCTTCTTCTTTTCCTCCTGCTTGTATCCCTCCTCCTGAATGTTGTGATTTCCCACAATCGTCAGGAAGACCTGGTCCAACGTCGTGGGCGTGACGCTGAAGTGCATGATGCCCAGCTCCTCCTTCATCTCCTCAAGCATGACCACCAGCTGCCCCACGGCGCTGTCTTCAACATCCTCGCTCGAACGCGTGATCTGCTGCTGGTCCCTGTGCCGCTCTCCGAACACAGCGACAGCCTCGCTTGCCGGCACCGCAAAACGCATCTGCCCGTGATACGTCTTGTCAAACTCGGCACCAGGGAAGCGCGCCTCCACCCACTGCCGGACCCGTTCCGTCTCCTCGGGCGACGTGTGAGGCGCGCTCTTGCTGATGAGATGCACGTGCAGCGCGTCACCGAAGCGGCGGCGCAGGTTTTCCGGCGTGCCCAGTGCCAGCATTCGCTTCGCCAAGATTCCAGCGCGGCCGGCGAGAGCGCCGGCCTCCTCCATGCTGTGCGTCGTCAGGAGGATGGACCGACCAGGAACGGTGGCGGCCAGCGTCTTCCACATGATGCGCTTGGCTGCCGCATCAAGGCCGGACGATGGTTCATCGAGCAGCACCACGGTAGGATTGCCCATGAGGGCGATGCCCAGACTCAGCTTGCGCTTGTTGCCACCAGAGAGCGCGTGCGCCTGGCGGTCTGAGAAGGCGCGCAAGCCGACCGCATCGATGACGGCGTTGACATTGACGTCAATCTCGGGGATGCCGCGGATGCGGGCGTAGAACTCAAGGTGCTCCCTGACAGTCATCTGGTCCAGCGCATCGTGTTGAGGGCACACGCCGAGGCTGCCTCGGGCGGCCGCAAGGTTGGAAATGACCGACTTGTCCTCGATGAAGATGTCGCCGCCGTTGTGGCTGGGCTTGAGGTCGCCGCGAATCAACGAGATCAGGGTGCTCTTACCTGCGCCGTTCGGGCCCAGGCAGGCAAACACCTCGCCGCGCTTGATGCCGAACGTCACATTATCCACTGCCGTGTTCTTGCCAAACGACTTGGTGACGTGCGTAACCTTGAGTCCGTCATCGCCGTTCTGCGTGCTCGTGACACGGGTCAGTTCCTTTGCCACTTCCTCGTCTGTGGCCTCGGCGGCGTTCTGGTCCTTGGCCTTCTTCCGGAACAGGCCTGCGATGCTCGAGCCTGGTGACCCGCTGTCGCCCCAGAGCAGCACGCCGAACAGGATGATCGATTGCAGGATGAGATACAGGATGGGACCGCCATATTGGAGCATGCCACCCGGATTCGAGGCAACGACATCACCGTCGCACGCAGTCGAGAAGAGGTTGAGAGCAAGGAGAAGCGACCGTGCTACCGAGCCGATGGGCGCAAATATCGAGACGATAAAGTGCACGAGCCGAAGAGTATCGTCGACGCGCTCGATAGGAGCAGCCGTGAAGCTGAAGAAATAGGCGATGATATACACCAGGAAAATGCCGGCCTGGAGCATCGCCGTTGTCGCGAAAGCAGCCAGCTGGGTCTTGCTCACAAGCGAGATGACGTATGCCAGCAGAATCGAAGCCAACCCATACAAGATGAAGATCAGGTAGATGAAGCCAATGTGGTACCAAATATCAGACACCGCAGCCCAGGCGGCAACCATGATGGCTGACGCAACGAGGACAATGGAGAAGTCAAAGGCGATGTACGCCATCCACAGAGGCAGGGGTCGCACACCGTTGGAGTATTCCAGGCCGCGCACATGTCTGTGCCTCTCCAGGCTTGGGTACAAGGCGAAGAAGGCGGGATAGAGGCACAGAGCTAGGGCAATGTAGACAAAGAGCTGCAGCGATTGGGTGTTCTGGTCGGCCCACGAGATTTCGAGAGGGGCGTAGCGAGTGGACACGGTGACATTGCTGAGGAGCATGTCTAGGATATTCTGACCGAGAAGCGAGTTGATCAGGCCGCCCCTGTTGCCGAGGTAGGCGAGCGTTGGGGCATTGCTGTCATCTCCAAGCCAAAGTCCCGCAGGCTTGATGTCGGCGCGACGTTCATCGATGGCGTCGGTGAACTCCTGGAAGGAATCCACGACGGTCGTGTTGCGTTCGAGGATTTGTCGCAAGACATCCAAAGCCCCATCGCTCCCCCCACCGCTGTTACCACTGCCTCCAGCAGCTCCGAGGAAGGCCGGCCCAAGCACCTGGGCAGCTGCGCCTTCATTCCACTTGTTGCTGGGTCCAACGACGAAACCGAAACCAGCCTCACTCAGGTCCAGGCCCTCGGCCCCTGCACTGAAGTTGTCATCGGGCGGAGCGCAGGAGCTGGGGTCCGCGTCGCGAATGAAGATGGTCACCAGCCCAGCAGCAATGATAGGGATGATGAAGGCGGCCACATACGGGAGCCAGTTCGTCTTGAAAATGGTACAGCGCTTTCGGAAGAGTACCATGGACTGGCGGACATAGCCGATTCGCCTGCCACTCATCAACGAGAGCCCTGGCTTTTGGTGTCCGCGGGACGGAGGCGTAACGGCACCGGATAATGTCTTTTCGCTATGGTTTGCAGAGTCGTCTCCATTGACGGCTTCTGCCTGGTCTCGCGTCTCTTCTGCGAGCTGCAGGAAGACGTCCTCGATGGTGGGACCGGAGAAATTGTATCCTTTGATGTTGCGCGCTTCCAACGCGCGGATGACCTGCGCAGCCAATGCCGACGAGGGAGCGACGTAGGTGATGAAATCAAAGGAATCTTTCTTCTGAACACCCTCGATCTCAGGCGCATCCATGACGGCTGTATCCTTGGGAACGTGAACGCGGTAGCCGGCGCCGAGCGTATTCTTCAGTTCAACAGATGAACCGCTGGCACGCAGGGTTCCCTTGGAAAGAACAGCAATGTGGTCAGCAAGGAGATCAGCCTCGTCGAGAAAGTGCGTCGTAAGGATGATGGTGCGTCGGCCACGCTCAGCCAAGAGAATGTCCCAAATTTTGCGACGACTGAGGGGATCGAGCCCACTGCTGACCTCGTCGACGCAACAGACGGCGCTTCCTCCTGTCAGCATCATGCCGAGCTGCAGCTTGCGCTTCTGACCACCCGAGAGTGTCTTGGAGAATGCTTTCCTCTTGGGACGAAGATCAATGGCCTGCACGAGGTCGCGTATCTCCTGCTTGGAAGCCGTCTGGCCGGGGGCCTTGAGACGATTGAAGATCTTGAGGTGCTCCTCGACGGTCAGCTCATCCCACAGCACGTTTTTCTGGGGCGCAATGCCCAAACCTCCGGTGCCGTCAATCGTGATGGATCCGCTGGTGAGCCTATTGGTACCGGCGATCGAGTCGAGCGTCGTCGACTTGCCACTTCCGTTGCTGCCCAGAAGGCAGAGGATCATGCCTCGCGGGGCATCCAGAGTCAACCCGTCGACGGCCTTGACAGTCTCACGCGGCTTCCCAAAGACGGACATGAGACGCTGGAAGGCGGACGGTGGATAGTACTTGCTGAAGCCATCGAGGCGCACGGCCGGGCCATTGTGCGAGCCGTCCGTGGGCTGATCGTAGAGAACGGTGCGGCCCTTGGCGCTCGTACCGAACAGACGGCCCTCAATGAGGATGCCGAGCAGAGGGTAGACGAAAATGTGAATGATGAGGAAAATCCAGAAGACAATGGCTGGCAGCTCAAAGGAACTGTTGGGGGCCACCTCGGTCAGGTTCGTGCCCATGCGCTCTCTCTCCCAGCGAGCCATGGTGATGAGGAAGAAGACGACGTTGCAGGGGGTGAAGAGGAGCGACAGAACGGCGACGACGCCGGTGCCTGGGTCGGTCAGTGCCTGTGCCAAAATGCCGAGGAGGACGGTCGCTAGCAGGGCCGTGACGCCACTCAGCTGAGCCTTCTGGAAGAAGGAGGAGACGAGGATGGCAGCGGAGGCCATAGCTAGGCCTGCGAGAACATAATACACGAGGACGACGCCGATGCTTGTGTTGGACCAGATGTTGGCGCGCAGAACGATGGAACCGACGACCCAGCCGGGCAGGTACAGCAGAGAAAAGGCGACGTGGTACGAGATGACGCGGGCGAGCTGGGCGACCCAGCGGCGGCGGATGGGCATCATGGCGTCGATGAGCTGGGTCATGCCGGACTCGCGCTCGGTGGCGATGAAGCCCGTCATGTGATAGATGACAAACATGACCGTGGTGAGGTAGGCGACGGCAAGGAAGTTGATGATGCTGGATTGATAGTCCTCGCGCACCTGCTTCTCGTACTCGTCCTCGGTCAGGCTGGTGAAGGGGAGGCGGTCGATGGTCGCAGGCAGCTCGGCTGGCTGAGGGCCGCTCGAGTCGGAGGCATTGGACGCCGTCACACTGGCAATGGCGGCATCAACAGCTCTCTGGAGAGGCAGCAGGAATTTGTCGACGTCATTGTTGTTACGGTCGACGTGGATGTTGAGGCCATGGATGGCACCATCGAGGAAAATGGTGTAGTTCCAAAAGCTTCCGTCCCCAGAGCTTCCGCCTTCGGAGGGCGACGAGTAAAAGGAGACTGCACCAAAGCAGTCGGTGACGGCCCTCTGTCCCGGCTCGCAGTCGACGTTCAGAGAGCTGTCATCGGAACGGCGCAAGACTTCGATGCCGTCAGCCGCCTGGGCGCTGGTCGTCAGGGAATCGATCACGCTGTCGATGGGCCCACCCTCGTAGCCGCCGTTGACGAAGACGACACGGTTTCGGTTTCCGGCGCCTTCAAGGGCTTCAGCAAGGGAACGGATGGCATTGGGATCACCGGTGCCGTAGGTGACGGGGGGCCGGAAGAGGTTCTGCGCAACACCAAACCAAACGGCCAGGAAGATGGGCAGGACGAAGGGAATAGAGACGAAGGTGAAGGGATGGCGCAGCAATATGGTAAAGTTCTTGCGTATGAGCGTGCCAGTCTGCCGCATGAAGGCCATGGCGGCGGCTGGGCGCTGTGAGAAGCGTTCTCGAGGTGTCAGGCCGGCGGATGGCTGAACGTACGTTCGGGTGTGGTTGACGAAGGGGTGGAGGTACCTCTGGTACCCCTGGTACAGGAAGACAGTACACTACTACCTATGTGTTCGTCTGCGATGGAATAGGCATCGACAGTGTGGTGACGACGGCTGCGAAGGCGTATGGAAGGAGTGACGGCAAAGTCGAAAGCCAGAGGGGGATTGGGGGTAGATGTACGCTATATAGAACCCCAAGTCGAGACTCGTTCAACCGAATGTTTTGTACGACTGGCGGCCATGATGGGAGGAGGAATGTCTTTTTCTGTTTTTGTGTTGACTGCCTTGGGCGGGCAGACATTGAACCGTGTGGCCGTGTACCTCCGGGGGTCTTGGCAGACTGAATCACCACCCTCTGCCCCAAGGCTCCCTCTGGGCATGGATGTGCAACTGAGGCACCTCCTCAGGGGAGCAGTGGCCCGCCCCACTTTGGCAGGCAACTGAGGCCGTCCCACAGCACTGCACTGCACTGCCTCTGGGCTCGCGACGTGCCAGTGCGTTGCCTACCTACCTACCTACCTTAGCCGTGAAAACTCTGGGTACCTCTAAGGTAGGTAGGTACCTAAGGTAGGAGCAGCCAGGCCCCAAACGTGCCGGGAACGGATAGTGGAGCTGGAACCCGCTGTACTAGCCTGATCAGACTCCCCTGTAGGTCGTAGCCAGTAGCTGCCCCCATCCCCCCTCAAGGATCCTTCCAGCTGCCGAAGCTGCGCAAGTCGGCCAATCACACACACATAGAACGTAACTTGACGGCACAGCGCACAGAGTCGTCCCCCGATACGCGTACTCTCAGCAACCTAGTTCAATCCTTTGGCTCAGGGGCGCGGCGCAGCATGCCACCCCCGAGACACACTCACCTGTCAGCCTGGGTCATCTCTTTACGATGAATACGCGCATCTACCCGTCGCGTTGCGTAGACTTTTACGGTACCGACATGACATGACATGAGCGGGCGCAAGGCAGCAGCCGCTTCATGCCCTGGCTGGATTCCATATCTTGCCTTTTTCCGAGCGAACGAAATTGAGGCTACGACACCTCTTTGGATGCATTTCGTCGTTGGACGTATTCCGTATCGATCAGGCGAAATCGCGCCCAAGACACCATGCGGACTGCCAAGAAGGCCGACCTTGGACTCCTATTCGTCTGAATGGCGCCCTTTTTCTTCATGCCTAGATACTAAAATTCCCCTTGACTGTCGATTACGTCATGACTTGCGGGGCACCATCTCGTTTGTGCCTGCCTTTCAACTTCCAGGTAGCACCTGAACTGATGATTGATGAAGGTGGGTAGGTACAGCGAGGTATAGGCAGGGGCCGAGGCACCTAAGGTGGGGGACCCTGTACGTGCAACCGCTTGCTCGAGCCTCACACTTGCGTGTCCAACGATGCGTCCTCGGTGCCTCGATGCCATCAGCAGTGCACTCACAGCCGTGATCGCTCCCCAGTCGCGACTTGCATACACTCGATTCAGGGTCATGTTTTGCAACGCAGTCCATCTTGCTACGATAGACGGACTGCGCCTCAGTCAACCATGAAGCCACCGCCCAGGTCATCACCCTCGGTCATGAAGCCACCACCACCAAAGTCCTCGTCCGCCATGGTGATCTCCTCGGTCGTTTCACTGGCTGCCTCTTCGTCTGCATCCACCTCATCAAGCGCCTCGAGAGCCTCCTCATCTAGCACTTCGTCCTCATGCGCAGCCTCCGTCGCAGGATCCGAACCGTGGCCCTCTTCATCCCCATCTGCCACGAACCCTCGTCCTGCCTCGTCTGCCGCCCTCTCCTCGGCGCTGACACCGGCATACACCCGTTCGTGGATACGTAGGACCACGAGGAACCGCTTCCACATTCGCAGCGCTGCCGTGGCTCTGCGGTCCTGCTGCTGCTGTGCTTCGACATCGCTGAGCCCGGCTTTGACCGCCCGCATGGCCTCTTCGTATTCCTCGGCCACCACGACGCCATTGAGCACCGCTGTGCCCTGTCGCCCCTTGAACAAGAATCCAGTGAGTGCAGGCGCGTAGTCGATGCCCAGGATGAACGCCGCCCGCGCAGACGAAGGCTCGTCCTCGCTGTCGTCAGCGATCCAGACGCCCCCCTTGGGGACCATGCTGGGCACGTAGAGATCGATGTTGCCAAATTTGTTCTTCGGCACCCGCCCCCGCACTACCGGCGGCGGCCTGTACTCCTCCGTCTGCTCCTCCGTGAACACCGGCGTTCCCTCGGCGTCGCGCACGTCGCCCCCGTAACCGTCATCCACGTACTCCCCGGGCTTGGTGTTGACTCGCTTTGTCAGAAACTTGACGGGCATTTCCATCGCTTTGACGTCTCGCCCCATGCGATACCACTTGTCGCGGCTGCGGGCGATCCGCACGTCTCGTCGCCGGTAGATCGTCTCCAGCGGCGCCTTGCTGCCGGCGCTCACTGTCCCCGCCGGCTGCGCGTCGGCTTTGAGCACCTCGTGGCGCCGCAAGTGTCGTTCCAGCGCGTAGATGGGGTGGTCTTTGAAATCGGCAACGTTGCGCGGCATGGGTTCCCGTGACGCCGTCGCCTCGAGCTCGCTGGCTTCGATATGATCGACATCCGTCGGTCGCCGTCGCGCAAACACCTTGAGCGCCTTGGCCCACCACTGCGCGCCGTCTGCTTCGGCAGTCTCTATCCGCAGTTTGCGTGTCTTTGCCGCGTATCCCTTCGCATAGCGCCTCGTAACATCTTTGGCTGTGCCGTCAGACTCAAAGGCCAGCACATAGGTCAAGTTATTATCTCGGTCCGATGCTGGTGGCTCGAGTTTCGCGGGCTTCCACAGTGTATCTGTCACAAGGGGATCGACAGGTTGCCACCTTTGATGTGCAACGTCGAGAACCTCGATCCAGTACACCGGATACGGAGACTCACGGAGCGGTTTGTGGATTTTGACGGGCCGCGACGCGCTAGGCGCTGCCGTCATGGTCGGCACGCGGTATGCTGTCGCGTTGGGATGGCCGAGCCGCCTCCTGGCCGAGGGTGTGGCCGGTGAAGGCGCCATTTCTTGTTTGGCTTTGGCGAGGCGCTGCATTTCCTCGGCCTTGGCTTTCGAAGTCAACATTTTGACTGTTTGAGGCTTCGGCAAGGTTGGACCGCCGGCTGTGAAGCTCAGCGGTTGAAAGGAGGCCACTAGGCGAGTCTGCACACCTGCTGACCGTAGCAACGCACAAAGCAGCTGTGCACCCGTGTCGCGTGATCCTTCGAGCGTTCGGGCCGCAGTCTGAAAATCATCTCTCCCGATACACGAGTCCATGTCGTCTGGGGGTTCATACTAGGAATCGGTCAGGAACGGCTCTGAACATGATGTTGCGATGTACGAAGGGAAAACTGTCGTCACCTTTTCTAGATGTTCAGGTGCTTCAGCCCAGAGGCAACGACGGAGACCACGTTCGGTCACCTGGTACTTGGCCTTGAAGGTACGGCCGATTTGTTCGAGACCATCCTTCAAGGACTCAGTTTGGCCAAACTGAGACAGGTTCGGTCTCGGCTTCAGCAGAGAGGCGACCTTCTTTGACAGCAACGGACGCAGGCGGTTCTGCACCTCACTGTCGTTGCACCACCGGTTTCTCCGCGCCGTGTGAATCAATAAGCATAACAAATGTGATTTGTGGGCGTGAATCCGGAGGTCTCTCTCCGCCTTGGTGATTGGTTTTCGTCTCTCTGGTGCCTTTGGCGCAACTGCTCGATGCGCTGTCAGGTTCAGCTCGAGGTCGGCTCGGGGTGCGGCAACGATGGGGCTGGTCTGCATAGGTACGATGGGCACATCTTCGAAGATCATCTCATCGTCCTCGTCCTCCTCATCAGTGTCCAGGTACATCGTCTGAAGGTTTGGCGCCGGAATGGGGACATCTTCAAACTCGAGCTCATCGTCGCTGTCGTCGTCCTCCGAGACCTGCTCCGTCTTGGGAGTCTTCGGCGCCGCAGCTGGTGTCGCCGGCCTCTCACCTGGCCGTCTACGCTTCCTTGGTGACTCCTCTGCAAGAGGCGGCGTAGACGGGCCGGCACCAGCCTCGGCGAGCAAATCTTGGTATACATCCGGGAGGTCGCTTCGGGATGTCTTCGACCTCGAGGGCGCCTTGCGCTTGCGGCCGGCCATCCTTCAGGCGCGGCGATGATTGCGCGACGCCTTGGACGTCGAGGCTGAGGGATCCGTCTTACACGCGTTGGCACTCCAATCTCACATTGACTTGGTGGATGCCTGGGAGGATGTCGAGGTGGAGGGCATTGCTGATTCAGCACGACGTCATACTGATGCCGAAGCAGAAACGCGTTCTCACGTGACGCCGGTATGTCGATGAACAAGTGGGGTTTGCTATATGGCCTGCAATCTACTGACCATGTCATGCTTCAGGATGGTTGAACGATTTGGTCGTTGCTGACGCAATTCCATGTCACGGTACATGCCTTGTTCAATAGGCAGATCGACAGCGAACAACAGTTGCTTGAAAGTAGAGCAGGACGGACTCGGCATAAGCCAGACAACCGAATGACATGGGTATGTATTTATCAGTGTTCCTCGCTGTGATCCCCCGCGACCCCTAGAAAACCCCGAGGAAGCTGCCGAGGTAATCAAACTTGCCTAGCGGCACACCCTTCGCGCGGAGAATCGAGTAGGCGGTAACGAGGTGGAAGAAGAAGTTAGGCAAGCTGTGGTACAGAAGAGCATCCTGCACCGTCAACGTCTTCTTATGCCCAGCGGCAGCCCTGCCAAGGTTTAGCTATGAACACGAAATTCCCTGGGATGTCGATTGACTTACAGCTCGACTGACTCTGCGGCACGGCCATTGGCTACCGAAGCGTCCACCGTCTGCACCAGCTCCAATGTGCTCTGGATGCGCTTGTGCAACTCCGCCAAAGTCTGCTCATTGTCTTCGAGAGTTTCCAGCTCCTTGCCCGTCAAACGTGCGAAGGCGATTCGAACGATTTTGGAAACGTTCTGGACTTGGAAAACCAGGGGTTTTTGGTCCTCGATCAGACGGGCTTCGACGAATACCTCGTCCACGCTGAGGTTGTTCTCTTTGGCATACTCTTCCGTCTTGGTGAGGATGTGATCAAAGGTCTTTAATCCCTTGGTAATAGAAGGGACCACAGCGTCATACAGGGGGAGTGAGGTCATTTTGGTGGAGGATCTTGCGTGGTGTAAGCGTCTTGTAAAGGTTCGCGTGCTCTGGGACGGAGAGTGTGTATGTATTGGGTTCCAATGAAGAAACAACGAACTAAAGGTGACGAATCAATAAGAAAATTTCAATGAGTGACGGGTATTTATATATACCATTTGCTCAGACCGCGACTCCTGAAAGGTTGCGAATTGCCCGCCTGTTTCGGCGTGATGTCGGATTTAATGGCGTGCTAGGTGAGCTGCATATCGCAACTTTGAGGGGCTCGATACTGCATGACGCGACACCGGCCAAAGCACAACAAATAATCAACAGCCGGCGTATTGGAAGATGAAATGATTAACTAGATAATATGGAATTTGTCATCGACTCAGGGTTGAAAGCCAGTCAAGTCAAGGGGGATCCTCTCTCCAAGCCAAATGGCCCGCTCCGTGTGGTTCCTCAGCTCGACGGCCGCCTCATTTCCCTCTTCGTCGGTGTTGGGATGCACAAGTGCTGACAAGGGACCTCTGTAGATAGCCAGCCACGGGATAAATGCGCCAAATTGAGCCGGCGTGAACAGGTTGACCTCGAACATGGCGACAGGGTGAGGACCAATGGGCTTGTCCCAGAAGCGGTACACTCGAAGCTCAGGGACTAGACAGGAACTTTTGTTAGTGCTGCCTTATGCGAAGCGAAGCGAGTCCGAGAAACAAACTAACACTCTCTCCTGATGCGCTCCCACAGGTCCTTTGCATGCTTCACCTGCGCGGGGTTGTTCTGGAAATGGTAAATGTGAATATCGCTGTCCCTAGTCAGTCGAGTTCAAGTATCCGGCGAATTGACTGGGTGAGAATCACAAGCCACCTCTCGTCCCATTATCCAACGGTGCAGTGAATTTCTCGTAGCTGTCGCTGAGGCCCTCTCGTTGAGGATTCACAAAGCTCTTTCCATCTTCACCCAAGTCTGTTGGTAGTGGTGCGGCGTCCTCAAAGCCGCTAAGCGGCGAAGGGTACTTTTGTAGTGACCCGGCCATTATTTGGTTGTCACGATAATATGGCGCCGACAGCTGGAATCAGTTGCCCAGCAAATGGCAAGTATCAAGAGAATATCGTTATCAGATGAAATGAATGGAGGGGGGCTCGTAGGGAGCTTTGGGCCGAGTAAGGAGGGTTAAATATTCAAGACGGTGGCTCCCGGGCTGGCCTAGGCCATTTGTGAGCACCTCACATCCTTTTAATAAGCATGCTTACAATTACATTTCGGGCGTGACAAGCGTAATCCCATTTTCATCGCTAACAGACATGATCGGTCATCAATAACAATGGAGAGATCGCGTGACTTTTCAGCCGTCATATGCTTCTGCAGCCCGCTAAACATGACGCTCAGAAACCAAATGTCTATTCCATCCCCATCGGCTCGGATGCGCAGACACGAGCCATAGCATCTTGATTGTTTCACGAGACGCCCAAACCCAAAGCCGTTATTCCGTAGTTATAAACCTCGTTCCTTCGCCTGCCGTTTCATCTCTTGATTCCCATGCATTGGCCTCGGCAGTGTCCTAAGCCTCCAACCCCAAGACGACAAACGATAACAGACTCGACCTCATAAACGCCATCCTCATGCGGGGTATCCGATGGTGCCCTCGTTTGAAGGGGGGCTGTTTGTGGTCCCTCTCAAAGCTCAGACTCCACACCATTGGCCTCCACGTTCATGGGACTTCCATTTTGTGTCTGGCGTTGGGGACGGGCCGCCGCGGGGTCGCGTCTGCGTGCCGCCGAGCCTGTCTTCTCCATGCGTTCATCGCCGTCGTCCGAATCTGGGTGCTTCTCAGCGTAGTGCTTCGCCTCGTCAAGCTCGGACATGTCGCCCGGACGGCTACGAAGCCACTGCATCCTTGGACCTGAACGGGCAAGCTCAGATACGCGGAAACCGTAGATCTTGGGCTCGTAGATGTTTCCGGCACCAAGGCCCGGGCCGATATTTTTGGAGTACATGCCATTGATGGTGTGAAGGCCGTCATCAGCAACACGAGCACCGCCGGTCGCAGGCGGAAGCATCTCGACGGTGTGCTTGGTCAGATCATATTCTGGGAAGGTGAGGAGGAAAAGAGCACCAAAGGTGCGGCCGAAGAAAGCTCCATCAACAGTCTGGAAGCGACTGTTGGGAGGAACGTAGACGTCTAGGCATGATGGGCAGAACAGCTTGACCGTGTCCTCTCCAGGGATATCGGACAGGCCAACGGGCAGCGTTCTCGCCTGACCGCAGTTGGTGCGAGGGCAGTATCCAAAGTGACCGAGCTCGTACTTCTCGCTCATCTGCTGTATGCCGGCGCGAGAGCAGATAAAACGTTGGTGAATCAGACCATAGAGCATCTCGGAGGAGGACTCGATCACGCTCAAATCGCTCGCCATGCGGCTGTGTTGCCTGCGCTCGTGCCGGGCGGCCAAACGCTCCTGGTCTGCCGAGTCGTTATCATCCTCTTCTTCCTCCTCTTCGTCTTCGTCTTCATCATCTTCCGGCTCCACATCGAGGATCATCTGTAGAAGGGGAAAAAAGTCAGTCGGTCAGCGTATCTCACGCGACTGTAGGCTGGGAGGTCACAGAAGTGTCAAGGGAGGGGGGTCCTGGAGGAAATACCTCGAGAGCTTCCTTGTACATCGCAACCTGGGTCTGCAGGCCAGTCAAGTTGAAGTCATCTTCGATGAACTCTTCAGAGACCTCGGCAAAATATTCGTGTCCCAGGAGAGAGCAGAAGGACGATATCCACGACTCGGGAGTCCCCGAAGAGGTAGACATGGCGTCTAGGTACTCCACTTTCGTGGAAAGGTGCGGTTGTCCTAAGGGTGTGGTGCAGACGAGGCGATCGCGGCGTGATGTGTGCGCGGCGATCTGCAAGTCAAATGCGGGCCAAACCGAATGGTCGGGTTGGGGCTATAGCCGGGATAGATCTGGAAGGGTGAGGGTATCGCGGGGTAACGGCAGAGGTGGGCAGTGCTCAGGCGCGGCGCATGTTCATCGGGTAGGAGCAGTGACTCGCATAGCCTGACAGTCGACGGGTACTGATGGAATCAACCGAGTGAGGGATTCCGCAACTGCTGAAAGACGGCAAGTGGCGGGGTTCGATGTGGGTGGGTAGACTGGCGTTGGGTTGTGCTGTGATGCGAACTTTTGGTGAAGCGCAGTTGGTGGGTTACCCGGGCTGTGGAAGGACAATCTCAGGCTGGCCGAGAGTGGGCTACGCTGTGCCTGGGCCTGGGCCTGCCTGCCTGGCCAAGTCTGTGTGTGCGTCGCAAGAGGCGGACATGGTCCGTGCAGCACACCCGACAACACCAGGCAGGCGGGTCACATGATGGTCATTGAAGAATCAACTGGTTCAGGTGTCCGACTTGGAAGGTAGCATCTAGTAGATCGCCCTTGGGTCTGAACATATTCGCCCATTATGAGAACTCTTACGAATACATGTCGTCGGCAGTTGGTCAGGCATACGATGCCTCGGGCTTGTCGCCGCGCTGCAATAACGACACTACAGGTGCGCGCGGTCGATTTGGCTCCCGCCCCTTACGACCGAGTCGACATCGCCCAGTTTCGAGAGGAAGCTTTCGGGCCAGCCCGTCCTTTGTTTTTCAAGGCAGACAACAGACCACTCAGTCAAACGTTCATCCCTGCAGCCTCCAAATGGTTTGAAGCTGGGCACGGCACATCGGGTGCTTCTTTCAGCCCCTACATGGAACAATTTGCCCACCATCTTTTCCCCTACGAGCTCATCAGTCCTCAGCTCTCGGAAAATGATGGCGTAATAGTCGACAGCGTGAAACAATTTCTCAATTGGCTTACCGCGAGCTCCAATCCTATGGATACCGTGCTGGCGGGCATAGTTCACTCCGCTCTCCCTCCATCAACCGACTCTGACGCTCAATTCTGCCCCATCGAGGCGCCATTCTTGCTTCTCCTGAAGGCCGTTGAGTACAACAAACTCCAGGACGCAAGCATCAAGAAGCTTTACATTGCACAATCACAATTAGTCGGACTTCCCCCGTCATTGCGCGAAGACTTACCAACCCCAAGGATTGTCAAGGAGACGGGCAAAGGCGACATCTACAACTCAAGTATCTGGATGGGCGTCGAACCAACTTACACGCCACTCCACCGCGATCCTAACCCCAACCTCTTCTGTCAGCTGCACAGCAGCAAAACAGTTCGACTTATGCCCCCCAAGTCTGGCGAGGCACTTTACCGACAAGTACAGACTAAGCTCGGTCGAGCTGGCAATAGTCGAATTCGTGACGCTGGCATGATGGAAGGCCCTGAGAGCGTCATGATGAATGCTGCCGTGTGGGGGGAGGGGGGTGCTGAGGACGTTGTCGAGGCTCAGCTCGAACCAGGCGACGCGCTCTTCATTCCCCTGGGCTGGTGGCACAGTATTAAGAGCATACACCGCGACGGCCGACTCAATGCCTCTGTCAATTGGTGGTTTCGCTGAACTAGAATGGCACGACAAGTAGATTTGATCGAGCAAGCACAAAATCTGACGAGTACGCAGGGGCACTACCTTACCACCAACAAGATGGCTGCTGAATGCCAGTTGTAAAAGACCCAGAACTGGATTCCTCATCTAAACAAAATCTGCTCCGATAAATTATGTATCTTGAGACGGAGAATACCGCGAGACGAAAGGAACGGTTCCCATATGTCGCTTCATGGCTGATGGTGGAGCCAAAAGAGGGCCGAAGGCAGCTATTCCGTCCTGTGAGTCACCCTCCCCACAAATATTGCGCACAGAATGATGGCATCATAAAGGCATCTAAAGATCCGTTTCAATATCTCTCAGAAAAGCAACTTGGCGCAGCGGAAGCGCGCCGGGCTCATAACCCGGAGGTCGGACGATCGAAACGTCCAGTTGCTAGACTTAACTTTTGCTTTCACCCACATTCTCGAGTGCTGCGGTGAAGTCATATCTTTTCTGCCAGTGCACGCGAAGAGGTTTGGTTTTGGTTACTGCCCATTGAAAGGCAGGTTTAGACAAGCCTGCGATTCTGTTTGGACGGTCAACTTCTGTTTCCGTGCTGGACTTTGCAGTGATCACCATATGAAAATAGGGGCAGAATTGTGTCGCGAACTCGGTCACAACCTGTGCGACGCTGCGGAACCCCCCGCCCATCAGGCATGAAAGTTCTAGGCTTGCTGTTTGTTTCTTGCATTTTGGTTTCTACAGCTGATTCTCTATGACCCTCACTGGTAGACCGCCCTTCATCGGCAGTGTCAGACTACTCTTGCTGACTCTTTCTTCATGGCTAGAAGGCTCAAAGCTAAAAGTCGATGCCATTACGGCGATCACATGGACGGCTGTGACCTCAGCCATCCTCTTTCCTAGGCATGTCCTAGGCCCACCGTTGAAGACGGGGAATTCAGCTGCGCTCCGATTCGCTACCTTGCCGCCCTCTAGCCACCGCTTCGGCCGGAAGTCGTCTGCGTCTGCACCCCACGTCGTATAGGAACGATTCATTGCCCACGGGCACCATACAACGACTGATCCCTTTGGGAGAAAGGTGCCATCGGGAAGCGTCGTGTGCTCGATAGCTTGCTTAATCTCAAACGGAACCGGCGGGTACAGGCGGAGGGCCTCGTTAAACACGGCGTGAGTATATGGCAAGTCTGCTAGATCCCGGTCATCATCAAACGGTCTCCTCACTTCCTGTCGAACTTTGGCTAGCACATCCGGATGTCTCATTAGCAAGTAAAAGGTCCAAGTCAGTGCTTGGGCAGTCGTATCGCGGCCAGCTGACAGGTAGTTGAGCGCGGCGTCTGCTACCATTTTCTTGTCACCAATGGCGTCAAGAAACGACTGGATCAGGCTGCCCTCGATATGCTGAGATTTGTCGGCGATACCGGTTTCACTACCTCCTGTGAAAGGCGTAGAGGCAGATTTTCTGTCACGAACGGCCTTGTCCACCATTTTGGCTCCATAGGACTTGACGACCTGAAGGTTTTTTCTTAAGGTGCCACCGAAGAATATCTCCGTAATGAACCACAACGGGTTTTGAAACCTCTCGGCCGTTGCGCCGGAGGCGTGGTCGAAGGCTTTGCTGAATTCGTCATCGGCGTGCATTTCCATCTAAAACCATGAGCTGTTAGCCTGAGAACATTCGATGGGCTGGTTTCCTGACTTGCGTTGTATGCCATGTCACCCATTAATCGGGTGGTGATCTCATGAAAGACAGCTTGCAAGTCAACGACAGCCCCCCCGCACTGCGACTTGAGGTGTGCCACACTCTGCGCAAGGTACCGCGGCAAGGCGATCTGCGTCAATATTTTGAGATTTGCTGTACTCAGGAAGCTGAGCCCAGCCTTTCTTTGTACTTTCCAAAGATCGCCATCGGCATTGATGATGCCGTTTCCTGTCGATGTGCGTGAGCTGTTTGTCCACCTATAAGGGAACAATCCCATACAGGCCCAGGACACGTACCGAAGAGATCCCAAGACCTTTCCTTCACAAAAGAGCCCTTGGAAAAGATGCCTTCATGCTTGAAAACATATTCAAGGTTTTTAGGATCACTGATAATGACACCAGGAGGGAGGCTAGGCACGGCAATCTGGAGTGTCTCGTAGCCATGCAGACGCTCACATTTGACGAAGTATTGGAAGAGTTTCTGGCGGGCTTGGATGAAGACCAGACCATTTCCGACAACAGGCCAGGTGTTAGGGGCGTTTCTAAAAGGTGTGAGCTGTGTTGTTCATCGGATGTGGCTCAACGTACTTTAGAGCTGACCCGTGGCGCTTCAGTCTCACTCGCCCCAACACTGCCCAGAGCAACAGGCAGAGCGCCACGGCTCCAAGCACCGGTAGATTGCTCGAGAGCACCATGATCTCGCGGCAGCAGTGTTATCCTGTTAAAGGAGAAGAGAACCTGTCCACAGAGGAGGACAAGCTGATGTCGAACTGTGGCCGGGAGGCCATGTAGCCGAGACTCCGCCCCAACGTTACAGCACCCCAGAAGTGTCTCCACAAAACACCATGACAGGTTAACGTCATTACCATGTCGACGACAACGGCGCCTATCTGAATGACACCCAACAACTGAGGCCCTCAACAATCCTTCTCATCACATCCTTCCTCTCCTCGTTTGCCAATTGAAACGAGTGCCGGCACTCAGATACCATTGAACAAAGTCCACGCGACAGCTACTCTCCAATTGATGTGATCACTCACACAAACACGGTTCTCACACCATCCACCCTCAAACTCGTCTCAACTTCACACCGCACACAAAGCACTCAGGTGCCAGCTGCATGCCATGGCCCCCCTCATCCCACGCTTCCACTTGTTCGAAATCGACGATCAGCCCTGGTTCCCCTCGTTCCTCCGCGCCCGCGTACAAGACGCCCTCCTCGCCACCTGGGTCAACCGCACACCAGGCCTGCAACCGGCCTCGCCAGCGCGCCTCGCCGCCGACATCCTCGAGCGCGAGATCGGCCAGGCCTCCCTCCCCTCCCACACCTTCATCGACTTTTGTGCCGGCTCCGGTGGTCCCACGCCGACGATTGAGCGCATCCTCAACCGCCGCCTCGCCGCCGCCTCACTCCCCGCCGCCACCTTTGTCCTCACAGACCTGCACCCGAACCCCACCTCATGGTCTCGCGCCGCCGCCGCCTCGAGCAACCTCGTCTACGAACCGGACCCAATCGACGCCTCGGCGGCCCCGCCCTCCCTGCTCGCGCAGCACCGCGGCAGCAGTCCCGTCTCTATTTCATCCCCGTCGGCGACAAAGAAGAAGGAGAAGAAGGAAATCTTCCGCCTCTTCAACCTCGCCTTCCACCACTTCCCCGACCCCCTCGCGCGTCGCATCCTCCGCGACACGCTCTCGACGTCCTCCGGCTTCGCCATCTTCGAGCTCCAGGCCCGCGAGCCCGCCTCCTTCCTCGCCTGCTGCCTCCTCGGCCTCGGCGTCCTCGTCGGCGCCCCCTACCACGCCTGGCGCCTGCGCTCCTGGGCCGTCCTCTTCTTCTGCTGGGTCATCCCCGTGTTGCCCTTTGTGCTCGTCTTTGATGGCCTCGTCAGCTCCGTCCGGACGCGGACCCCCGACGAGGTCGAGGCCCTGATGCGTACGTGCGGCGCCGACTGCGAGGCGTGGGAGGTCAGGAGTGGGAGCGACATGCATCTCTGGCCTGTGGGCTACCTTCACTGGATTGTGGCCACGAAGAAGGACGTGCCGGGAAGGCAATAACCTTGTCTTACTAGTCGTTTGTCAGTGCCGATCATTAAGAAGTCATTCAATCAAAACGTCGCAAAACGGAGATAGAACAAGTCATGAAAGCAAGCATATCACTTTCCCAAGCAAGGCGATGTGTTTTTTTTTTAACTTTTTTTATTTTCATAATCTTATTGGCCCATAACCTCATCAATTTTAAAATGGCATATCGCCTTCGCAGCCGCGTGTGGCTTCCAGTGGTGCAGCGCAAGCCAGACCGCGTCTATCGGGCACGGCGGCACGTACCGCACTCTTGCGTCTCAGATGATCCTTATCCCTAAAGTATAGAAAAGAGTAAAAGAAAAACCGTGATATCTGGTGGTGAACAGAAGATTAAACAGGAGAGAAAAAAGACACGCTGATGAACATGCTAATCACACCACCCCTCAAATGACGGGACCGGCCTTGATGACATCCTCGGTCGCCTCGCTCTCGTACTTCTTGAAGTTCTCCACGAACAGGCCGCCGAGCTTCTTGACCTCGGTGCTGAAGCTCTCGGCGCCGGCGGTCCAGGCGTTGCTGGGGTTGAGCAGCTCCGAGGGGACGTTGGGGCACGTCTTGGGGACCTGCAGGTTGAAGACCTCGTAGTTCTCGTACTCGACGTTGGCAAGCTCGCCAGAGTGGATGGCGTCGAGAATAGCACGAGTGTACTTGAGAGGGCAACGCTTGCCGCCCTGGGTGGCACCGGCACCGACCCAGCCGGTGTTGAGGAGCCAGGCGTTGGCCTTGTGGGTCTCAATCTTGTCGGCAAGCATCTTGGCGTAACGCATAGGGTGCAGCGCGAGGAAGGGCTGGGCGAAGCACGAGGAGAAGGTGGCCTGGGGCTCCGTGACGCCGTCCTCGGTACCGGCCATCTTGGAGGTGTAGCCAGAGATGAAGTGGAACATGGTCTGCGAACGGTCGAGCTTGGAGATGGGAGGCAGGACACCGCGGGCGTCGCACGTCAGGAGGATAATGTTGGTGGGGTGCGAGTCGGAGATACAGGGGATCTTGGCGTTGCTGATGTACTCGATGGGGTAGGCGCAGCGCGTGTTCTCGGTCAGGGTGGAGTCGTCGTAGTCGACAGCACGTGTCTCGGGGTCGAAAACGACGTTCTCGAGCACGGAGCCGAAGCGAATGGCGCCGAAGATATCGGGCTCCTTCTCGGCGGACAGGCCGATCGTCTTGGCGTAGCAGCCACCCTCGATGTTGAAGACGCCACGGTCGCTCCAGCAGTGCTCGTCGTCACCGATCAGGGCACGCTGCGGGTCGGCGGACAGGGTGGTCTTGCCGGTGCCGGACAGACCGAAGAAGAGGGTGACATCGCCGTTCTTGCCCTCGTTGGCCGAAGAGTGCAGGGTCAGGACGTTGTGCTTGACGGGCATCTCGTAGAAGAGGACGGTGAAGACACCCTTCTTCATCTCACCAGCGTACTCGGTACCGAGGATGACCATCTCCTTCTCGGCGAAGTTGATGGCAACCGAAGTGGCCGAGGTCATACCCTCAGTGTATCTGTTGGCAGGGAAAGAGCCGGCGTTGTAGATGGTGTAGTCGGGGTGGAAGTTGGCAAGCTCCTCACGCGAGGGGCGGATGAGCATGTTCCTCATGAAGAGGGCATGGTAGGCACGGGCACAGATGACACGGACGCGGATGCGGTACTTCTCATCCCAGCCGGCGAAGCCATCGACAACGTAGATGCGATTCCTCGTGTTCAGGTAGTCGACAGCACGCTCGCGGTTGATCTTCCAGACCTACAGTGAAACGACCAGTCAGTTTGATGAGTTCAGCGATCGTGGGTACGGGTACAGTCGGGACAGGCGATGCGGCAGGGGGAAGAGGTGAAGAGCGGGCATTTGCGGGGCAAGATGCATTGGCAGTGCGCAGCCGCGGACCCCACTGAGTTCCTAGGCGTTCGCTTCGGCTGCATGTGCGGGGACAGAGCGAACGCCAAGAACCCAAGGAGCAACCCATCGGGATCCGCGTCTTGGGGGAAACAAATCATGGAGGAGATCAATGGAATGACGACACGCAGTCGCAACCCAAGACTTTTGGGCCCGCGGCCACCCGCAATCGCCATCTGAACTTCCAGATCTTGATCGCGGAGCCAGCGGACAAACGGAGGTGACGGAGTCATGTGAGGAGGGGATTGTCGTGGTGCTGTAATGGTCATAGACCATGACGTTTGGCGACCAAAGTGCTGCCTGCGAATTTGCGTGTGCATAATGCACCGCGTAAATGCGCTGCAAGGAAGGAAATGGGACGATTCCGAGGAAAGCTTGCTGGAGCGTCTCGTGAGACATCCGAAGTCTGGAATTGCCGAATGCAGGGCAAAGGCATCCGAACCTGGCAAGCCTACTTTCCCCGGACTCGGGGCTTGCATGTGCATGTGCTCGTGTCTGTGTCATTTTGGGCTTGGGGGGGTCTAGAGGGGCTAAGGAAAACCGGGCTAAACGAAAGACTGCCCATGACTCGAGGTCACGGGGTCTTTTTGTCGTCCCTCGTCTTTTTCTTACCTCAGGTGTCATAGGCTTGTTGACAGGTCCCCACCTGAACATTTCATGTTAGCCAACATGACCGAAGTGTGATTGTTTGGCGCCCAAATGGGCTAACATAAACGTACCAGATATCGTCTTTGGAGGAAGGCTCCTCAACGATACGCTTGTCCAGTGGTGAGCGGCCAGTCTTCTTGCCGGAGTAGGCAGTCAAAGCACCGCTGGATGTGATGGCGGAACCGGTCTCGTACACGAGAGCATCTTCGTAGAGAGCAGGAACAGAGGCGTTGGGGACAATGGCGACGCGGTCATAGTCGATGTGGGCAGTCTCGTGAAGCTCCTCCTCGAGCTCAGTGTGCTCCTGGTGGGGAGCAACACCGCCGGGGTGAAGGGGAGTCTTGTTGACGTTTGAGTAAACCACTTCATGTCTGGTTAGCTCTGAAGCCGGGGGAGGAGGGGTATGACAGGAATAGACAGAGGGAGTGTGAGACTCACTTTTGCGAAGATCTGACTGGTGAGAGGCTTGGGCTTGGGATTTGGGGCCTTTGTTGGTTGGGTCAGAATAGGGAGAAGCTGTTCTGGCAACGGGGTCCTCCATGTTTATGTAGACGGGCGAGCTGGAGCTGGAGCAGCTGGAGGTAGTGGGCGTCGATAGGATTTCGGGAAAAGTAGCGTCTCGTGCTAGACAGCCGGCGAGAAGACGGTCCACTGGGGTGTGGATGGAGGAAGAGTCTTGGAAGGTGACGACAGGGGGATAGCGTGTGCTTCCGCTTGATACTCGTGCTTGTGAAGGCTCAGATGGGTAAGGCAGCCGAGACCGAGGATAGAGAGACGGTCCCTTGAACGGGAATTTATAACAACGGGCGTCCACTGTGGAGTTGCGGAGGGCAGGTGAGTGGCGTGACTGGTTGAAGAGAGGACGAAGCATCGCGTGGAGATGTCTTGGGTGGACGAGCCAGGCTGGGTCACGAAAAGGTTCCGGAGGAAGGTGAAGACGTGGAATCGTGAAAAGAGGACCGGCAAAGGCAATCGAGGGGCATTGGTGGGCAGGCAGGGGGGCGCATTTGGGGAGGGAAAAGGATACAGGGGAATGGGCCACCCCTAAACCCCCTGTAAGATGCGACGCTGAGTGGGGCCACCTGGGGAGGACCGGGTGCATTTTGCATTTCGACCAGTGTCCCATCTTCGTCTTTTCGTGCTTGATTGACGAGATGGAGGCCGTGCCCGTGTCTGGCATTGTGCGCGTACCATGTATGCCGATGCTTGCTGTTGGCTGCCAGATCGGGATATTGGTTACCGGGGTTCATTGGGCGTGGCCTTGATTCGTGCCTTCGGCTCGAGCTGACCAAAACCGTCACAGTAGATCAGCTGCCGTCAAGTCGAGCCGTCGCCAGCCTTTGGCCCGGGCGCCCGCTGAACGAGCAGAAGCAGCACAGGGAGCAGCAGCCTGCCAGACCCGAGAGGCCGCCTATCAGTGACATCTGCGCGTCGCGCCCACGCCATCACGATCGCTGGTTTGGTGTGTCGTCCAAACCAGACCAACCAAGGTCAGTGAAGTCATGATGCATCCAGGGCCTTGGCTTGCTCAGACTGCAACATACGGGGGGCGGGCGGAGAGGGGGAAGCGTCACTGTGGGAAAATCTTCATCCTGGCCTCCTGCTCCAGCCGATCTTTCGCGTGTGACCGACCCCATCGGCTGGCTAAGGCTGAAGCCAAAGGGGGAATAAAGACAGATGGGAGCCAGACAATGCCGGCCTGTCAATGCCAGGCTGCCTGAGGACCGACGGGAGGCACTGAGGGGCCCCGGATCCAGTCGTGCCAAGCACTGTAAGCCATGCCACAGGACTAGACGCTCCTGGCAAAGTCTGGGATCGGTTGATCGCACAAGGGTCGGAAGGGGGGGAGATCCCGTCAATCTGGCTCGCTCTGCCCCGCGTTTTCTTAGGTCAGCAACAGCAGCCCGGATGCCCCTCCAGCTCTTTCCCTCCCTCCACCGGCGGCCCAGCCCAGCCCTCTCGGCGCTGGAGCCAGGCCCCTCGGCTCCTGGCATCCCTATTGTTGCTGGTCGAGCCAGTGTTTTTGGGCCGTATCTTGCTTGACCGTCACCCCCTTTCCTGAGGGCGAGACTTGACCCCAGGCATCTCGGAACGTCTGACAGCATGTTTCCAATTTTTCCCGAGGTGAGATTCCTTCCCCTTCGGCCTAAGCCCGACCGACGTGGTCGCGGTGCACTACGCCCGTGCCGAACGATACAAAATGACGTTCGCGTGCCCCGCGCCTGCATCAAGAGCCGCCCAAGCCCCATTCTCTGACCCATCCCCTCCTGGCCATTGGCTGAGCGTCTCCAGCAAATCAGCGGTTCATGCGGCTTGCCTTGTTCGTCTTCCGACATCTTCCGGCCTCAGGCCTTCTCACTGCCCTCGCCCTGTCTCCAATTCTTTTCCCCTCCTTCTCCAACTTTGCTTGTCGGTAAGCGCTTTCACATGGAACAGCCGTGGGTGCGT